CAAAAGTCTTATAGATATGGGAAAACAAGTGCTTAAACAGAAATCCATTCTTGAATCTTTGAAAAGTTACATGCTTGATTGTCATCCAAAATTTTTACAACTATGAGACATTACAAACAAAACAAAACTTAAGTTCTAGGCAAAACTTAAATCATGTTATAGTAATGTTTCAAAAACCACAGGAACATAAATTCTAAAATGCAGTAGCTTATAGCCTAAAAAGGCATATAAAAAGCAAAAAGTACATCATTAAAAAAATAGCATTATAGCATTGAGCACTTTTTAGGCTTTAAGCATACTGCTGACACGCATGAAAAATATTCTAAGTGACCATCCGTGCAGGAAATTCATGTTGTCCTCATCTGTTTTGATGTGCTGCTGTGAGCTGTGCTGCTGCTTTTTGACATCTGGTGCCCAGTATGATTGTTGTGCATGTCTTGTGTCATCTTCTTGTATGTCTCTGCCTCTCGGTATTTATATTTTTCTTAGATATTTACATTTCCTTTCAATTGTAAATAACTGAATTTTGCTGTTGTAGTAAGTTACTGATCCATATAAATGGTCAAAAATCAGTTCCTTTCAAGGAGAAAGGTGGGGTTAAAATATTTTAAATAAAATAAAAAAAGTTGAATGGAAATCTTTATTGCTTGTATGGGATGGTAAAATATAACGTATGAATTTGGCAGGTATAGCAGATAAGTTATTACTTTGACTAAATGGGTTCTGCACACACAGGAATAGTAAGTTGCTTGGGTAGCATTTTACCAAGAAGGCAAAAAGCTATGGGTATAAGGGGCTGCTGGCCTAAATTGGTTAGGTGCCAGTTTGCTCAATCCACACTTTAGGACTCTAGGAAGTTTTTTAAATTGTTTATTTATTTACAGGTTCATCTTTCAGCCCTGAGATTCTTTTACAAGGCAATGTTATTGTACATTGACCTTGGTTCCAGACTTGTCTGGAAAGCTGGCTCATTGTTTCACAGTGACTTTTAATAAGCTGCTGTTCAAACCTCAGTTTTAAAGCATAATATACACTTTCAGGATTACATTGTTTCTACACCCCCCTTAATTTTTTTACCACTATTTACACACAAAATTCCACATCATTACAGATGTGGAGCAAAAAGCTTGTGTTCCCATCCTATTTCTTTGTTGCAGAGGGAAAGTCCTTATGCTGCCTGTCAAAGCATTCCTTCTCTTGAATAACTTTATTTCCCCAACACACACTTATCTATCTGCCAGCACTACTTGCACCATTTGGCAGTACTGAGATGGCCCAGCAGCCAATCTCCTTGATCATAAGAGTGAATGTGTTTGATTTTGTAGAGGTTTTTTTTGGAGGGGGGAAGCTCTGACATATTTGCACTGTCACAATTTCTCAGTGTTTCCTCTGATCAACCACCTACCTTTCTGGGCCCAATAAGAAAAAGCTATGGTAGTTTTGACTATACTGTGTTGCACCAAATCACAAACAAACTAAACTAGGACTCCCTAGCACAGTCTTGAAAAACACAAGTGCTATTGGAGGAGAGATGGATGTACGTGCACACATGCTGGGATGTTCAACAGATTTTTCTCATATATTAAAGTGGGAATCTTTCATGTTGGATTGGATCACATGGGCTCTATTCTTTAGTAATACAGTAGCTGGAAAACCTGTTTTCTTCATTAGTTGCTCAGACAGAGGTTTGATCTGGCCATGGTGACACATGGCTAGATTACATCCAGACTGGATTACTGTAACATACTCTACATGGGGCTTCCTGTGGAAAGTATTTTATCTGGATTGTTTCAGTATTCACCTTCATCCAGTCCATCACTTGACACCAGACACTAATCCAGAACTAGTCAGTTGGAAGGCATATCAAGGAATTCAGCCTGTGCTGGATGGGGTTATACTGCCTCTGAAAAAACAGGTGAGTAGCTTGGGTGTGCTCCTAGATTTGTCTCTGAGCCTGAAAGCCCAAGTATTGGATGGGCAGGAGTGCCTTTGCAGAGTTAAAACTAGTGCACAAGCCACACACATTCCTGGAAAGGTCTGATCAGGCCATGGCGATACATGCCTTTGTTATACTCCAGATGCATTACTGTAACATATATGTGGGGCTGCCTCTGGAAAGTGTCTGGAAACTTCAGTGTGTCCAAACTGCAGGAGCCAAATATCCTGAGGACATACTCCTGCGTCAGTTTTTCCATGCATTGTCTTATGTGATGACTTTAAAATGGGGTTTCCCGTGTCTGTCCTGCCAGTGTCGTATATCAGTGCTGCATGCAGGAGGTTGGAGCCGCACTGAGGAAGCACAGAGCTCAATGTGGCATTAAAGGGGTATCAAGGTAAAATAAGTCTTCTCATTGTTGCAATAATTCCAGGCAACATTAGCTTGTACATTTCTACAAGCTGTATTCATCTACTTTGCTTTTATGTTCCATAACTAGAAAAAGACTTCAGAGTTACTGAAAACATCCAAAAGTCTTATAGATATGGGAAAACAAGTGCTTAAACAGAAATCCATTCTTGAATCTTTGAAAAGTTACATGCTTGATTGTCATCCAAAATTTTTACAACTATGAGACATTACAAACAAAACAAAACTTAAGTTCTAGGCAAAACTTAAATCATGTTATAGTAATGTTTCAAAAACCACAGGAACATAAATTCTAAAATGCAGTAGCTTATAGCCTAAAAAGGCATATAAAAAGCAAAAAGTACATCATTAAAAAAATAGCATTATAGCATTGAGCACTTTTTAGGCTTTAAGCATACTGCTGACACGCATGAAAAATATTCTAAGTGACCATCCGTGCAGGAAATTCATGTTGTCCTCATCTGTTTTGATGTGCTGCTGTGAGCTGTGCTGCTGCTTTTTGACATCTGGTGCCCAGTATGATTGTTGTGCATGTCTTGTGTCATCTTCTTGTATGTCTCTGCCTCTCGGTATTTATATTTTTCTTAGATATTTACATTTCCTTTCAATTGTAAATAACTGAATTTTGCTGTTGTAGTAAGTTACTGATCCATATAAATGGTCAAAAATCAGTTCCTTTCAAGGAGAAAGGTGGGGTTAAAATATTTTAAATAAAATAAAAAAAGTTGAATGGAAATCTTTATTGCTTGTATGGGATGGTAAAATATAACGTATGAATTTGGCAGGTATAGCAGATAAGTTATTACTTTGACTAAATGGGTTCTGCACACACAGGAATAGTAAGTTGCTTGGGTAGCATTTTACCAAGAAGGCAAAAAGCTATGGGTATAAGGGGCTGCTGGCCTAAATTGGTTAGGTGCCAGTTTGCTCAATCCACACTTTAGGACTCTAGGAAGTTTTTTAAATTGTTTATTTATTTACAGGTTCATCTTTCAGCCCTGAGATTCTTTTACAAGGCAATGTTATTGTACATTGACCTTGGTTCCAGACTTGTCTGGAAAGCTGGCTCATTGTTTCACAGTGACTTTTAATAAGCTGCTGTTCAAACCTCAGTTTTAAAGCATAATATACACTTTCAGGATTACATTGTTTCTACACCCCCCTTAATTTTTTTACCACTATTTACACACAAAATTCCACATCATTACAGATGTGGAGCAAAAAGCTTGTGTTCCCATCCTATTTCTTTGTTGCAGAGGGAAAGTCCTTATGCTGCCTGTCAAAGCATTCCTTCTCTTGAATAACTTTATTTCCCCAACACACACTTATCTATCTGCCAGCACTACTTGCACCATTTGGCAGTACTGAGATGGCCCAGCAGCCAATCTCCTTGATCATAAGAGTGAATGTGTTTGATTTTGTAGAGGTTTTTTTTGGAGGGGGGAAGCTCTGACATATTTGCACTGTCACAATTTCTCAGTGTTTCCTCTGATCAACCACCTACCTTTCTGGGCCCAATAAGAAAAAGCTATGGTAGTTTTGACTATACTGTGTTGCACCAAATCACAAACAAACTAAACTAGGACTCCCTAGCACAGTCTTGAAAAACACAAGTGCTATTGGAGGAGAGATGGATGTACGTGCACACATGCTGGGATGTTCAACAGATTTTTCTCATATATTAAAGTGGGAATCTTTCATGTTGGATTGGATCACATGGGCTCTATTCTTTAGTAATACAGTAGCTGGAAAACCTGTTTTCTTCATTAGTTGCTCAGACAGAGGTTTGATCTGGCCATGGTGACACATGGCTAGATTACATCCAGACTGGATTACTGTAACATACTCTACATGGGGCTTCCTGTGGAAAGTATTTTATCTGGATTGTTTCAGTATTCACCTTCATCCAGTCCATCACTTGACACCAGACACTAATCCAGAACTAGTCAGTTGGAAGGCATATCAAGGAATTCAGCCTGTGCTGGATGGGGTTATACTGCCTCTGAAAAAACAGGTGAGTAGCTTGGGTGTGCTCCTAGATTTGTCTCTGAGCCTGAAAGCCCAAGTATTGGATGGGCAGGAGTGCCTTTGCAGAGTTAAAACTAGTGCACAAGCCACACACATTCCTGGAAAGGTCTGATCAGGCCATGGCGATACATGCCTTTGTTATACTCCAGATGCATTACTGTAACATATATGTGGGGCTGCCTCTGGAAAGTGTCTGGAAACTTCAGTGTGTCCAAACTGCAGGAGCCAAATATCCTGAGGACATACTCCTGCGTCAGTTTTTCCATGCATTGTCTTATGTGATGACTTTAAAATGGGGTTTCCCGTGTCTGTCCTGCCAGTGTCGTATATCAGTGCTGCATGCAGGAGGTTGGAGCCGCACTGAGGAAGCACAGAGCTCAATGTGGCATTAAAGATTAGAGACCGTGCTGAACCATGCCACCTGGTGGCCAGTCACCTTCATTCTAGCTTCACTGTAATTTTTCTTGTGACAAATATTGCGTGAGGATGGATTGAAAAAGTGCATTAGGACCTCTCCTCTTTTGTCCTAAATCATAGTGTTAGAATCTGACCCTTTCTACTTCCCCATCCCCTGCTTTTAAGCATTACATTTTGTTTTTGTTGGCAGATACTGATTATATCAGCCAGGAAGAAGTAGCTAAGGTAGAGCAGATGTTGGGCCACCTCAGTGAAGAGTCCAAGCAGGCTGCAGCCTCCACTTTGGTAAGTACCCTGGTCATTTTGCCCTTTGTGCCATGTGCCCACCCTTGTAAGGAGGCTCTCATCATGGCTCCTGTCATTCTTACGTGTTTGCCAGCATCATGGGTTTTGGATTGCAGATATTTTTTTTTCATATGCACGACCTGTGAGGTTGTGGCACAGGTTACATGAAAGAAGGGCTGGCAAAGGCTGGGGTAGGCATCTCCCATGTGCTAAGGCTAATTCCGAGCCTTCTGTTATGAAAATATGTTCCTTTTGGAAATGTGATTTGTCAGTGAACGTAAGGATGTGTCTTGTTGCCACTATGAAGACTTAATAGTTTACGAATATCCTGACCTTGGTGAGACGGCATGGACTGAACCTGGGAGTCAGGATTCCTATGCTGCACACTTTCCCAGCAAGCTCAGTGAGTGTGGCAAGTATTACATGGTGATTACAGAGAAAGGAAGCCCTGCCAGGCTATGTGTGGTTTCTCAGGATTTAAGATGTACAGACAGACATCAAATGAGCAACTAGATGTTCCACAGGGATGGCATCCCACACTGACTTCAGGGAAAGTAGGCCTGCTTTTAAATTAGAGATATCTGTTCTCATTGCTCCAGTCCTTAACAAAAGAATCTGCCATCATTTGGAAACTTGAATTATAGCCCCAGGCTAAATGTTACAAAACAAGTGGCTAAGATGTAGATTAGATTTGATGGATTTGCTTAAATGTAGTCATAGAATTTGGTTTCTCAGGGGACTTTTGGAAGAAGCAGAAAGTATATCTAGAAGAAAGGGCCTGAGAGCAGCATTAAGAAGCTGTCCAAATTGATTCTGGCTTCCGAAATACCCATGTATGCGTTATGCTGTCTGGATGACCTCCGGCAAGAAGCAGTGATCCGGCAAGGAACGTGATATCTGCCAGGGGCTGGGTTTCAATTATTTATGGAGCTGCTCACCTTCCAGCTGCAGTTTGGAGCTGCATGAAGGCTGCTGCAGTGGGAGGGGCGAGTGGGATGGATGTGAGGGCTCTGTCCCTGGGCAGGGCAGAAAATGCATGGCCTTAGTCAAGGCCAGCCCAGGTGCAGGAACTAAAACCTCCATTAGAAACATTCTTCTTCTTCTTCTTCTGAGGGCACACATAGACTCCTACATATGTCCCTTATGTTCTTTAAAATTATACTTAAAAAGAATCTTCTGATTATCTCCACACCTGGTGCAGTCCTCACATGAAAGTGTGGCACTGTTCTTTTAGCTCCAGTAGCAGGAGGATGAAGAATTTGAAGGCAAATGAGTAATATCCTGCCTTAAATTGCCATGCACAGAACAGCAGTCATGGAAGTGGATTCTGCTAATTGTTTACAAGTCTGTCCCTTGACAGCACTCGACAGACCCATTTCTGTTACCTAAATCCACTTCTGCAGTTTCCATGGCTCACATGCAGAGTATTTGAACAGCATACCAGCCAGTGTTAGTAAATTTGAAGTTGTGGGCAAATGCATTTGTCACTTCCTTAATGTAGTCTCATGAAATGTGTGTTCAGCAGGATCTTACTGTGAACAGATTCCTCCTTAGACTTTGGTCACTTTGGTGTTTTGGCTGTGGCTTCTTCAGGGATTGCAAGCTGAAACATTTGGCTTGGGACCTAGAATGTTGATTCTGGCTTCCACACTAGACTCATAAACAAGATTTTTTTTCTCCATTACAAATTATTTTGCCAATTATCGGGTATTAACTCAGACTAGAAACTAGAAAGGACCTGAATATATTTGTCACTCAAGAAAACACTTGCCTGCCAGCCCTGTTTTGTTCTTTTGTTGGGTCAGTCAAGTTAACTTGGGCCAACTTGAGTTCAAAAGGCCCTAAACTGAAAGAGTGCAACAAATCATCCTTTTTTTCCCAACAGCTTCTGTAGAGCAGTCAGCATCTAGCTCCAACCTGGCCTGCACTGCCTCACCCATTGTCAGTTCCCAGATGCTCCCAGCCAGAGCCTCCCCTTAGATGTATCCATTGTGGAAGCAAACGTCTCAGGATTAGTTCAAAAGATCTTTAAGTGATCAATTTCTGACTTTATTAAGACCCTGAATATCTTGCATGTTACTAGCAATTCAGTACCTTCTAGACATCGGGACCACTGAGTAATAGTTATGACTACTTAGACCCAGTAAGAGATATATTCCATCCTTTTCTACCGGCTAAGGAAAAAAGAGGGATATGTGGGCCACTATGGATATAAAATCCCGACGAATTACATCAAGAAGAAATACATTTGGCTGAAAACGCATGTTTTCCCATAGCATGCTGTGTGCTGTTATTAGTCAGATCATCAGAGTTCCACGTCCAGATCTCAATTTAATGGTGTCACAATTCATTGTTTGAATTTTCCCTGGACTCCTGGATAGGCATCCTGAATTGTTCATTCATTAATATTCTTAGGATGGGGCTTATTTTTGAAAGATTGTCTTGGGTCAATAGGCAGGACCAATATCTTGTTCTCCTTCCAGGCAGAGGAGTAATGTCCTTGAGAGCAAACCCTTTCTAGCACCACAGGACACTCTGAACCATTCGATGCTGCTGGCCTGTATTCAGATATCAAGAGATTGTAGATGTTGCCATTCAGTTGAGGCTGGCAGGTCATACTTTCTTCTCAAGTAGGCAAATGGCAAAAATTCATCATCCTGTCCAATTAATTAGTCTAAAGTACAAAAATTCTCCCATCTTCCATAAAAAGGGCTTCTTCTCAGTTTTTAAATATAGGTTACCTCATACAGTGGTGCCTCGCATAGCGAGGTTAATCCGTTCCGGATTAACCTTCGCTATAGCGAAACATCGCTGAACGGGGCAGGGAAAGCCATTGGAACGCATTAAACAACGTTTAATGCATTCCAATGGTCTTCCCTGTTCCGCTTAACGATGTTTTCCCATAGCGAAGGTTAATCCGGAACGGATTAACCTTCGCTATAGCGAAACATCGCTGAACGGGGCAGGGAAAGCCATTGGAACGCATTAAACAACGTTTAATGCATTCCAATGGTCTTCCCTGTTCCGCTTAACGATGTTTTCCCATAGCGAAGGTTAATCCGGAACGGATTAACCTTCGCTATAGCGAAACATCGCTGAACGGGGCAGGGAAAGCCATTGGAACGCATTAAACAACGTTTAATGCATTCCAATGGTCTTCCCTGTTCCGCTTAACGATGTTTTCCCATAGCGAAGGTTAATCCGGAACGGATTAACCTCGCTATGCGGGGCACCACTGTAGTTTGGCATGTGAAAATGGGTCAAATTGGAATTTTTATGACAGTATGTGCCATATTTCTCTTACTGCAGATTGTTGGGAGAATTGAGTTTCTTTTGGCATACAGTGGTGCCGTTCCGGATTAACCTTCGCTATAGCGAAACATCGCTGAACGGGACAGGGAAAGCCATTGGAACGCATTAAACATTGTTTAATGCGTTCCAAAAGGCTCCTTTACTCACCGTTCAGTATTTAGAAACCAAAACCATCAGCTTGGAGAAAGGCTCCAGATCGGAGGTTTCCAAAAGAGCCAAAGATGGGCTAATTTTGAGCACAGGTTGCTGTCCTCTGAAGATGCCAGCCACAGAGACTGGCGAAACGTCAGGAAGAACAACCTTCAGAACACGGCCTAAGAGCCCAAAAAACCCAGAACAACCATGGGCTAATTTGATTATGGAACACAGTTCCAACAATTAGCACAGCTTAGCAAACATTCCTGATGATATAACCTAACATCTGGAAAGCCAAACCATTCCCCCTTCAGTAATCAAGCTGCAATCTCTTAATGGAAATCAGAGATGGCATGGAACCCCACATAAATTTCTGAAACAGAGTATTAATTTTATGGAAGTATTTGCAGGATATAAGAAAGAGAATTGCTCAAAAATATATACCGTATTTTTCCGTGTATAAGATGCCCCCATGTATAAGACGCCCCCACTTTTCTAACCCAAAATTAAGAAATCTAAGTGGGGCTTAGCAAACGTAGGGTAAAAAGGATCAAAGTGCTGCAGGATGGCTTTGATCCCTGCTTTCTCCCTTTGTGCTAAGCCCCGCATTGCTTAGCAAAAGGAGGAGGAAAGGGATCAAAGCAATTCCACGACTGCACAATCATTTTGATCCATTTCCCCCTTATACAGCCACGGGATTGCTTTGATCCTTCCCCCTCCTTTTGCTAAACCCCGTGGGACTTAGCAAGCAGGGGGAAAGCAGGGATCAAAACTATCCTACAGCACTTTGATTCTGCTTTCCTTTTGCTAAGGCTTAGCAAGTGGAGGGGAAAGCAAGGATCAAAGCCCTGCAGGATCACTTTGATCCCTGCTTTCCCCTCCACTTGTTTTTTCCTCAGCTTACTTCCATGTATAAGATGACCCTCATTTTTTAGACAAAAGTATAGTCTTATACACAGAAAAAAGTATATAATATTCATTTTGAGTGTATTTATCTTGTCCTGTAAATTTAAAGATACCCATCTATCTAAATCCAAAGATATCTCCAAAGTCTATTTAGTTAAATTAATGCAGTTATCTGTGAAATATCCTTGGGAATCCATATTCCAAGACAGGTAACATTTGGGCACCATCGCAGCTGCCAATCAGAAAAATGCATTCTGTGATGGATTATCTCAATTGGATCATGTTATTTTGCCTAATTAATAGATAACTGCATTTGCCAGTACACTCAAGGTATCTGTAGATCTTAAGCTACTGTATAACTCATTCAACAAAAGTTCATATGGATAATATATTGGACACTCAAACATCTTTTTAAGGAAAGGTCTGAGCAAATCATCTAAATGTTGGCATTTTGATTCTCTTGATGCAGCTCTTAAGTCATATACTATGGCCATTCCCAGTTATAAGCACATTTTGGGGATCAGTTGTTTCATTAATTTTGTTGATACTTATGTACTTTTTTTAGACTACATTCCTGCTTCTTGAAGATTAAGCACTGGCCAGCATAGATGGACTCTCTGTGTCCTTAGAATTCCAAAACACTGATTTTGCAACACCACCAATTCAGCAGATAGACCTTATAACACTGTCAATGTATTAATGTTTGGCATACAGACAACAAATACATGTAGATTTTTTTTTGATATTTTGAAACCTTTCATGCATACAGACTTTTTCTTTGGGGCTTCCCTCACCTTCTTCCTTTCCATTTTTTCTTTGCTTTTGCAATTTAATTTGATTTTAAAAATTTAGCCAAACCTTTATGAAAGGATCCAAAAATGAAAAGAAGAAGAAGAAATAGTCAACTCATAATCAACAAAAGAGTGGGAAAAGCTGTACTGGGATACAATCTCAAAAATTATAGAATGATTTCAGTATGAATCCAAAGCAGACCTTCTCCTTGGATGGAGAAGCCCTATACAGTCAGCAAAAACAAGACCTGGAGCTGATTGTGGCTCTGATCATCAGCTTCTTATAGCAAAATTCAAGCTTAAACTGAAGAAAGTAGGAAAAACCACTGGGCTAGTCAGGTATAATCTAAACCAAGTCCCTTATGAATACACAGTGGAAGTGAAGAACAGATTTAACAAACGAGATTTGGTGGACAGTGTGCCTGAAGAACTATGGATGGAGGCTTGTGACATTGTACAGGAGGCAGCAAGAAAAACCATCTCAAAGAAAAGGAAATGGAAGAAAGCAAAGTGGCTGTCCAACGAGGCCTTACAAATAGCAGAGAAGGGAAGGGAAACAAAATGCAAGGGAGATAAGCAAAGTTACAGAAAATGGAATGCAGATTTCCAAAGAATAGCAAGGAGAGACAAGTGAGCCTTCTTAAATGAACCAGACATCCTGAAGAGCAAAGTCAGGGGGGCCTTAGAAAGCATGGCTAACAACAAGGCCAGTGGAGGTGATAGTACTGTATTCCAGTTGAACTATTTAAAATCTTAAAAGATGACGTTGTTAAGGTGCTACACTCACCTCCTGGCAAATAGAAGGGGACGATATGGAGGTAGTGACAGATTTTACTTTCCTGGGCTCCATGATCAATGCAGATGGTGACAGCAGCCACAAAATTAAGACACCTGCTTCTTGGGAGGAAAGCAATGACAAACCTAGACAACATCTTAGAAAGCAAAGACCTTACCTTGCTGACAAAGGTCCACATAGTCAAAGCTATAGTTTTTCAGTAGCAATATATGGAAATGAGAGCTGGACCATAAAGGAGGCTGACTGCCGAAGAACTGATGCTTTTGAATTGTGGTGCTAGAGGAGACTCTTGAGAGTCCCCTGGATTGCAAGGAGATCAAACCTATCCGTTCTGAAGGAAATCAACCCTGAGTGCTCACTAGAAGGACAGATCCTGAAGCTGAGGCTCCAATACTTTGGCCATCTCATGAGAAGACTCCCTGGAAAAGACCCTGATGTTGGGAAAATGTGATGGCAAGAGAAGAAGGGGACGACAGAGGACAAGATGATTGGACAGTGTCATCTAAGTTACCAACATGAATTTGATCCAACTCCAGGAGGCAGTGGAAGACAGGATGGCCTGGCATGTACTGGTCCATGGGGTCACAAAGAGTCAGACACGACTTAACGACTAAACAACAGGAACTTAAAACAGATTAGGAGCAGCCAACAGAATGGTGAAATTGTTCTCTCGGTCCACGAAGTGATATTTCAGAGAAATATTTTTGGGGGGTGCTCTTGCAGGAGCAGCCCTCTACGGTCCAGAGGTGAGCACACACACACACACACACACTGGAATTAAGAAGCAGCATACATTCTGAATAATAGGTAGAATTTGTGTCCTTATATTTCTCTTATGTGCTGTTTACTGTAAAGTATTCCTGTTTTCATCATACGGTTGGTATCTTGCATGAATGTAATTACCGAATCAGTGGTGGCAGCTTCTCTCCTCTTTGTTTCAGCCTACCAGTGAGGAGGACCTGTGCCCTATCTGCTACGCCCATCCAATCTCTGCTGTATTCAAGCCATGCTCACACAAGTCCTGCAAGTGAGTAACCATCAAGAAAGGGCAGGAAATGAGTGCTCTCATACTTTTGCTTCCCTGTTGGATTTTAAGATCAATAGCAAATTTAAGCATCCTGAAAATCAATTTAATTGACAGAAGCAAGATTCAGCTCTTCTGGCTGGGAAGGTTGGCTTGAAACTACAGGAATAACTTCCAGTTAAGTCTTAGAAGCAAGATGGGAAGCAGAGCAGAATGCCCACTGGATGGGAAAAGGCTTCAGTAACTCCCATTTATCTTTCTCTAGCAGAGATATGCAGGTGCTCAGAAAAACAAATGGAAGCAAAATTCCAGTTGTTTGAACTAAAATAGGCATAGTCCTGTGTGCACCAGCCACATGCAAGAAGCACTTACACACATTTGCAGCTATTAAGAGCCTTTTGAGACTCTTGCCTTGTACTCATGAATGGATGTGTATGGGTTTCTTCTTCTGTCTCTTCCAGAGCCTGCATCAACCAGCACCTGATGAATAACAAGGACTGCTTCTTCTGCAAAGCCACCATCACGGGTGTGGAGGATTACATTAAGCCAGCCACCTCCTAGTGCCTGGACCCTGCAGGGCAGGGCCGCATGCCTGGGCAGCTTCTCCACATGGTGGGCTCTCCCTGCTCCGGGAGCACCTCTGTCCATGGCAGCTGCTGTTCAGCACAGCTGAGCTCAGTTTTCTTAACACCTCTTGCAGGCCAAGCACTGCTGTATGCATCACCTAAGGCACACCCCTCAGTCTCCCTGAATTTAAGTACACTTCCTGTGGCTATCGTTGACTCCAAACAAACAGGCATTGGGCTTTTCCAGTTGGTTATGTACAAGGGGCTTTGGTTCTTTTCCTCAGCCTGAATCTGCAGCTCCTTTCTAGCATCTGCCCCAGGATGCTTGGCTTGTTCTGTAGCTGGGAAACATTCTTTTTGGTGTGATGCTTTCATTGATGGGGTAACAGCTGATCGCACAGCCAGCATTTTCTCCTGTGAGTCCAGCTGCTTACCAGCCGTGTGTGTTCTTGTTGCTGCTATTGCAGCACTTTGCTATTTGACCATGCATGTGTGGCTCAGACTTGGTTCAAATAGTTCTGTGGGCATAATTGGCAGTAGCCCATCTACCTGATTTAGTAGCTGTGAAGAAAGATTGTAAAGTATTTCTCATGTGCAATTCAAGGGTCATACAGTTCAGTAAAGGACCATGCCTGCCTGCCTGCAAATTTGAATCTGCTCTTATTGTTTCCTTTCCTTTGAAGATCAGGAAAGGTAGAGAAGCATAGTAAAATCACTATATCAGGTTTTTGTGGTAGGAGCTTAATGATACAACAAAAGGGGTACTATTGCTATAATTAACTTAAGGGCAGAGATAAAGCCTAGAACCACCAGAGGAATGAGTGTGAACAGACATTTAAGCTCTTAGGAAGGAAATCAAATACAGTCAAGTGCCAGGGTTTGGTCCATGCATTGTGCATTTGCTTAGAAGTGCTATAACTAGGCTGACTTCATGGGCCACAACAGGGGCAAACCTGCCTGCACTGCTATCTTCCACCAGCAGAAGGTGCCTATGGCACCAGCCCTTCACTGTGTGACCAGGCTGCCTGTACTATCCAGGAGCAGACAAGGATTTTTTAAAAATTTACTAACTGTGTGTGACTTGTAACCTGAAGTGTTGGGGAGGGCAGTGAACATTCTGCTTGGAGCAAGAAATTGAACTTACGTACATCTGTGATTGTTTCCTCCCCCCATCCCCCTCCAAAGTGGAGAGGGTGTTACTTCCATAAAATGGAATATTATTAAATTATTATTCCTTAAGGGTGTCATTTGTATTCATTCAGTCATCGCTCATAGGCTGGCAAGGGAGCTACACACAAGGAAGAAAGCAGTAAAGGGGAGCTGCCTTTAAGGGCGATAAGCATTTTTGGTGCCTCTTGTGGAACAGACAACATGACACCTCAGCATTCACTGTTCATTAGAACATAATATTGTTTCATCCATTTTCATGATGGAACAGAGTTTTGTTCAGACTTCTTGAACAATATAGTTGTTGGTTATTGGCCATCCAGAGGGAAAAAAGTCAGTTTCTGTAAGGCAGTAGAATCTGCAAGAAGAGCACTGTATTCTTTCTTTCCCCCATGGGTTACGGAAGAAGACACCATGTTGCAATGGTAGCATAACATGCTGCCCACCTACCGGCCTATGTAGGTCTCTCCTCTTACAGTAGTTGAGCTATTATAGCACAAGCTGCACTTAAGAGTCACTTTCCAGACTGGACCTCTGGCCTGTGCAACAGAACAAAGCCGGAACTGGCCCATCTCACCCTCTCCAACCTCTGTTCCCAAGGAGGAGCAGGGGGGACTTTCCCGCTGGGCTAAATGCACCTTTATCCTGCCACACACTTAAGACCCCAGCAAGGGTTGAGAGGGCAGAGTACACATTTTAGAGAGACGTTCTGTTGAAAATTCAACAAAGAGCCTCTGCTGCCAAGGCACAGAGTAGGGATAGCTCAGTCCAGGCAAGACAGGGAGGGTCCTATTAGCTGATCTGGCACTCAACAATCAAGAGCTGTTACATGATGATGCGTGGCTCCGGTACAGACTCAGCAATGGATTTGTGAGGCAACACATTGGCACCATTGAGGTAGAGTTCATCATTCACAATGACATCCTCACCCAGAACGGTCACATTCTCCATCCGCACCTGAGGGAACAACATAGCAGAAAGTTACCTTTGGGGCTTCTGTATTGAGCCAGAAAAGATACTCTACAAAATGAACTTGGCTGAAAAGATGAAGCAAGTTACTTGTGCCTATAAAAGAACGAGACAGCTCTTCAGGCAGCTTCTACTCCCAGACCATGCTTTCTGTTTCACCTAGCAATGAAAGCTAGGGTGGGCAAATTATGGTCCACAAAATGTTGGATTTCAGCTCCTCTATCAACCCTACTCAGTTAAAAGTTACACATTTTGTGTAACTACACAGCAGGTTTTCAGCCCTTAAGTTGGGAATTCATGAGATAAGCTTCATGGTTTGGAAGCAGCTCCCAAAATACTGAAAAAATAACTAGCCAGAATCACACATGCATTCCAGGTGTATACAATGTTAAGTATGAGAAAAAGCAAATGTGCAGAAGTGCAAACAAATTTTAACAAGAGCTTGTCCAAAAGAGAAGGCCCTGCTGAGAACAGACTTCATCCTGTGGCATTTGTGTTGACTAAACCTTCCGGATAGTGTGGTGAGAACTTAATTTGACTAGGAAATGTCCTTACATTAAAACAACTACACTTGGCACTCACCCACTGACCCACAGAGGAACTCCAGCCAACAATACATGATTCAAGCCAGGAATGAGAACGAATGCGTGACCCCTTCAAAACAGTGCAACGCTTGATCCGAACCCCATCCTCTACTACCACGTCTGCCCCAATAGTAACATTGGGGCCAATACTGCAATTTGATCCAATCTTAGCAGTTGGGTCCTGAAATCAAAAGAAACTTCATTCATTTAAAATATCTATAAGCCATGTTTCTCCCAAAGGATCCAAGGTAGCTCACAGTATTAAAACAAACAAAATTAAAGCCAAATAATAAAATTATTACAATATTTAAAAAGCATTGAAGAAATATCGTATTAAAACTCACAATAAGAGCAATGAAAAGCAGTCTTCCCTGAGCAGCTTCCTCTTCTAAAGGTATTAGACTACATAGCTTTAGTCCCCAAGGAAAAAAAAAAAATCAGTATCAAGACCAGCTGTTCCCCTACATGATTGATTGATTAATTATTAATTAAGGCTGACCCTACTGAAATAATTCATTCTCCTCCACAGTACAAATAAATGTAAGAATTACCACTAGTACGTTCCCCATGAACCCTGCTGCTGAGTGTAACCGCTCTGGCTGCTTCATCCTCAGAGATTGTAAATACATGCACATGCCAGTCAGGAAGTCTTTAGGCTGCCCAATATCCATCCAGAATCCTGTGAAAATAAAAAAGATGGCATTGGTAAGCACCACTCTCCTTTGATAGACCTTCTTGGGTCACTGTTGTTAGTTGTGTAAATGGGAGCAGCCAAAAAGTGTGCCTAACAGATTTACTGAAATAAGAGATGAATGTTTCTCTCTAGCAGTCCCACCCCCATTCTAAAACATTTAAAGTACCAAATGAACAATTTCCCAAATCCATGGCATTGAGATTTTGAAAAGCACAACCAGAATAAGACTGTACAACTCTCAACAATGTTAATGTTACTGCTCAACAACAGATGCTTCAAGAGATGAAACAACACTTAAGATCTAGTACAGTGGTGCCTCGCTTAGCGAGCGCTCTGTTTAGCGATGAAATCGCTTTGCGACGAACTTTTTGCGATCGCTTTATGATGTTCCCTATGGAGTATTTTCGCTTTGCGATGACTGATCATCACAAAGCGACCATTTTCACACAGCTGATTGGGGGTTTCAAAATGGCCGCCGGGGAAAAAACATGGCCGCCCGCTGTTTTCTGGGACGGATTCCTCGCTTAAAAGGCACCGAAAATGGCCGGGCTATGGAGGATCTTCGCTGAACGGTGAGTTTTAAGCCCCTAGGAATGCATTAATCAGATTTTAATGCATTTCTATGGGCTTTTTAATATCGCATAGCAACGTTTTCGTTCAACAGCAATTTTTGCTGAATGAATTAACGTCCCAATGCGAGGCACCACTGTATCTATTTTAGATGCAGTGAGGCTAGTGTTGGACTAAAATATAATAACTATGTGCTATCACATTGATTCCAACTTACGGTGACCTCTTTCCTGGGTCTTCTAGATACAGTGTACTAACTCAGAAGTGGTTTATCAGTACCACCTTCTAGGAGCATTCTGGGACTGTACAGCTTGCCCAAGAGCACGAAGTGTAGCCCTTTTGTCACATAGCAAATTGGGGAATTAAACTCCCTAAATCTGATTCCATGGCCAGGTGCTCCATCTCACTGAGCTACCCAGCCAGTGGATTAGGACAACATAGGTTCAAATCCCCATTTGTATGTGGAACTCACTGACCAGTATCCTATTGCTGAAACATGGAGTGGAATAGCAATCACATAAATGTCTCCTTCCTGGGGCTGACATTAGCCTCCTTCCTCCCTAGCATTAGCCTGATCTTACACTGGTCTCAAGATGAGTTGCAGAACTAATTGTATGGCACGCAGTCTGCTACAGCAGGGGAAAAATTTATGTAGTTGCTCTTCTGCTATCCATTTAGATAATACAGTGGAGTATCGACTTCCAGATGGCTCCACTTGCATACTTTTCGACCTACGGACCAGAAGGGGGAGGTGGAGAAAACACAAAATTCACATTTGGCGCTTTCCCCGCCTCCCCCTTCCAGTCCATAGGCCACAGGTTGTGCCTCCTGATGCCTTCCAGGGCTTCTCCACAGCCATGGGAGGCATTATGGAGGTCCCCACCACCACCAATAGTGCTTCAGAGGCACTATTGGCGGTGGCGGGGGACCTCCGAGAAGCCTCCCATGGTGGTGGGAAAGGCCTCTGGAGGTTCCCCCCCACTGACGCAGGCTTTCCCAAGGTGGACTGGGCCTACCAGGGAAGGGCTCCCCCTGGTAGGCCCAGTCTACTCCCCAGGAAAGCCTGGGGAGTAGACCGGGACGTAAATTTTATTAATTTTTTTGTTTGGGGGTGGGTTCTTGGGCTGGGTACGGATTAAATGGTTTTCAATGCATTTCTATTGGAAATGCATTTTCGACTTGAGGACTTTTCGACCTACAGACCCCGTTCAAATACGGATTAATTCCGTAGGTCGAGACCCCACTGTAGGATATTGACCATTTATGACATTAGGGCACAGACTCTGAGTTCCTTCACAGGTTAGTTTTCACAATAACATGGGAAAAGGGAGAGCCATCTACACTACCTTGAGTTCACTGGGGGAAAGGTGGCCTAGAACTGTAACAAATTCAGAAAGGGAGATTTTAGACACAATTTCTGAAAAATGGTACTAGAGCAAAATCCTCCAACTGTCAACAATTCCTAGGGACCAGTTCTACAACTACAGTAATGTGCATGACAATGTAGTTTTCAAAGGGGTAGCCATGTTAGTCTGTGCAAGCATATCAGAAAAGAAACAAAAGCAAAAAAATAGGATACAAAAATGTGGCACTTTAAAGACTAGCTGCTATATTGTAATGTATACTTTCATGAGTCAAGTCTACTTCTTCAGACTATATGGCAATACTGCGAGAGAGACCCAGGGGAGAAAACAACTAAACCCCACTAGTTGTCACTTTCAATCCACAACAAACCACTCACTCACACACATCCAAAATGATCTCCAACCCATCCTTGACAAGAAGAATACTTCACTCTCCCAAGCCTTTGGTGGCAGGCCTCTACTTGCTTATGGACAAGCCCCCAATCTCAAAAATCTATTGATACACAACAGCTTGCACAACACTGATACAGATTTGGGGACTGAGCCCTGCTACAAACACAGATGCCAACTTTGTCCTCATATCATTGGGATTTGAAAGTTGCTATCCTGGAGAAGAAACATTACATAACAATATTTCAAAGAGAAGCAACTGAGATAAAATGTATACAGATGCTGAGAACTCATCTTAAAGGGTTAAATATCAGTTGAAGGTTCTTAAGTTATTACCGAGTGTGAAATGCTACAGTGACTGTGTCTACTCTTGTGCTGCTATCCACAGCCTTTACCAACAAACCATTGTCACTTTTTACAAAACAACGTTTCAAAGGGGAAGGAACCTGCTTAAAAGAACTGAATATTGATCAGGAGTCTTAAGTTATTACCAAGAGTCTTAAGTAATTACCAAGTGTGAAATGTGACATTGATTCACACAATTTGCAACTTGTGATACTATATGAAACAACCATAGTCACTTCGTCCTCTGTATCCCCCCACATCATGGGACCATGTTTAAATGATTGCCATATAGTCTCACTCTTATGTCTGAGGAAATGGACTTGATCCACAAAAGCTCATGTTAAAATACAGTATTTTAAGGTGTCATAACATTTTTGTCTCTCTTTTTTTCTATGCACAACCATGTTTTTTTTGTCTACCACACAAAAGTGAGTCATGGAGATTTCAGTGTTTCAGTCTGCATGTTATAAGCTATGTCAGTGCTTTACACCCTTATTTTGTTTTTTATATCTCTTGGCTTTGTGAAGGCAAGAGTCCTGCTTGACTGACCCTGAGACATGGCAAAGTGATCAACCAGATATCCTGAGGAAACCTTCAAGCAGGACACGAGAGTAACATTTCCTTTCCACTGTTCAGGAACAGTATCAGGAACTCAAAACAGATACAGCCCAAGTTGTTGGAAATACCATATAACAACATGAGCAGCAACATGGTTAAATGTTCTAATTCCAAGCAGACTAGTGTTTCAGTCTGCATGTTATAAGCTTTGTCAGTGCTTTACACCCTTATTTTGTTTTGCTTGCAGAGAGTGACAGTGATTACCATACTGTTGTGTAACATTACTTCTCTTAAACTACCTTAATGCAAAACTTCTAATCTTTTCTCACGTGCTGGAAGTATGGTCCTTACCTTGTAGTTCCATAGCGTAGAGTTGTCCTTGTTCTGCCATCACAGGAAAAATTTCTTTCTCAATCGATGTCGGACGTAGCTAGAGGGAGGCAAGAGATCTGTCAATTGAGTATTTTTGCTGCAACTTTCCATGGATGTAGAATTTCCATGGACCTCATTTTAAAAAACCTCTTTATCTCATGACCAGGTCAGGAGGAGATGCCCAGCCAGAATCAAATCCTCAGTTGTCTCTGACAGTCTGTCCTCCACAAGACCTCTGTCCTGCCCTTCTTGCTTCATACCTGAATTCGTTCTAGTACACTTGGATTTAAGATGTACATGCCAGCATTGATCTTGTTGGAGACAAAAACCTGAGGTTTCTCCACAAAGCGGTGTATGCGCCCAGTATCTGCATCACACACCACTACGCCATATTTGGAAGGCTCCTCCACTTTTGTCACCTGCAAAACAAAGTGAGTATCCAACTTACAACTGGCAGGCACACATACAAAGTGTCACATCATGTAGAAAAAGTTATTACGGAGTTCTGTGCCTTCTTCCCCATTTTCAGCAAGTCTCTGAAAAATTGGTTGTTGTGGATTTTTCGGGCTCTTTGGCTGTGTTCTGAAGGTTGTTCTTCCTAACGTTTCGCCAGCCTCTGTGGCCGGCATCTTTAGAGGACAGCACTTCAGAGGACAGAGGTGAGCACAGAGTGCCGTCGTCTGAAGATGCCGGCCACAGAGACTGGCGAAACGTTAGGAAGAACAACCTTCAGAACATGGCCAAAGAGCCCGAAAAACCCACAACAACCATTAGATCCCGGCCGTGAAAGCCTTCGCGAACACATTCTCTGAAAGATTTCTGCAAGCCAAAAGAAGAGTAGGATGGGACTGTGTTCATGGCGGTTATTCTATCATTCAGGTTTTGCATTAGAAAAAAAGGATATGTGGATGTACAAATAATCTACCGCTCTGTTTTACCTATTTATCAAAAAGAATATACTTTAAGATGTGAACAGGGGAGGGATCATTAATATTTTAGGGGACTGACTTTTTAAAATAAATATTTTGCTCTACTCAGATTTCTGGGAGATCTCCAACTAGAAGAAAGAGAAAAAAACTGAGACCATAAAACATTACAAGCTTATGGTTGATCCACCAAGTACTCACCACAATGGTGCCCTCTTTTCCATGATTACTGTGGAAACGCATCATGTCTGTGAAGGGGAAGTCACAGATCACATCACTGTTGAGCACAAAGAAAGGCTCTGAGTTCTCAGTCAACAAAGCCCGTGCTAGTGCCAGGGGGCCAGCTGTAAAGAAAACAAAAGTCTTCAGTGGTCACTTATTCAGAACTCCACTGGCTACCATAACCATCATGGATTGCTCAACCCATCCCCGGAAGTCCCATCAAATACAGCTGCTGCCTTGATTCAGTAGCTAGCCATCAAAGACATGCAGCTAAGGTATGTAGGGCTGACAGATGTTTAGGATCCTGACTCCACAGAGCTAAGTAGACATGTGCTGCTAGATCATAGTTACATTTCTAAATCATGATTACATGGTTACAGTAACCCTACAGAAATCTCCATGGAGGACAGTCAAGCTAGCCTGCTGCAGCAAGAATGGCCAGGAATCTTGTGCCGCTTAGGGTACTACCGTGTTAGGGTACTACAATTTTGGCATATGTTATTGTCAACTGAATGTCGGTGCATTGCTCTGCTGCACCAGGCTAACACAGTCTGTCCCACAAACATTGTGAGGAAACAGGTCATGTTCAGCTGTCTTGAATGGAAATCCACTAATTTCACAAAGAAACTTGCCCAGACCCAAACAAATAGCATTGTTCTAATCAAATACAAAAATTTACAAAAAAAACTGGACCTATTACCTGTGCCCAGTGGTTCCTTTTCATGTGACAGTGAAATGCGAATGCCCAGCTGAGAAACAAAACAGAATTTGGAAAATGACAGGAAAAGCATTATCATGTTGCATGCATGTCAAAGACTTGCTGTGCAATTGCCAGAGAGCCATTCGATCCCCTCTTATCAGGCTTTCAGAAATCCTTTCTAACATGGCAGAACAATCACAGTAGGAACATCCACAGCTGTCCCAACCTAGTCCACGCCCAAACACGGACACACAGGTTGGTACCATGCTAGTGTCAGAAGCCTCATTTTGCAATGCAGTTTAAAAAGAGAGTACTGTAGCTGCTTCAGCCCAATGTCCTCACTCACAGACCCTCTGTGTGCAGGAGAGGTAGTGGACTTTGGGGGAGGGGCACACTGTCAAGTCTCTTTTGGTATCAGTTCAGCATTTTAATATTTTTAGCAGTGTGGGAGTGGATTTAACATGAGGGATCTGTGAGAGTTCCACTCTGCCCCATGGCATTCTGTTTTACCCTGGGATCCCTTCTAGAAATGCACAAATACTCCTGATTCAGTCTGTATTTACACATTTCTTCAAAGACAGTGCACATTTGTAAACCATTCCAATATTATTCAGTGAATAGCTTAACAGCAACTTGCAGACTGTCAGCTCTCGGCTGCTAATGAACAGCACATAGTAAACAAGAAGATTAAAATATAACTTGCCACATTGGGAAAATAACTGTAATACATCATCCATATTTGTATCATAACTCTACCATCTTAATTTTTGCCACACTTTTTAAAAAGCAAGTATAACAGAAGTTGTTTTGAATTAGGTATGCTTGGAATTTGAGCATTCACTACAATCTACAAGTATAAAGAGGACATGGAACCAATGGCTTGGCTGCAGGGAGGAAGGAGGAGATGGAAAGTTTGCCTTCTGTTATCTGCCTTAAGTTATGTTATCTTAGGATCCAATGCAACAGGTATACTTGGAACCCACAGAGAAGAAATCAGGTAGTCAAGGCAATAGTGGAGAGGATGCTCAGCATTTTATATTTCAATATCTGAAACATAAAGATGCACATTAAAAACAATACCTCCTCAAACACTTATAGGCCATAGTTGTTGCTTTCTATGGAAAACAACTGAAATGTTTGCAGCTCAAATAGCCTGCCAATGAATATACCAGATTACAGAAGGGGATGTGGGTTCTTGCTCTTTACCAACAGTTTGCAGTTACTATGCCAATCAATTAAATAGAATCCACAAACTTTCACTTTGTTGTTGTTTAGTCATTAAGTTGTGTCCGATTCTTCGTGACCACATGGACCAGAGCATGCCAGGCCGTCCTGTCTTCCACTGCCTCCTGGAGTTTGGTCAAAGTCTTATTCACTTACCAAAAGCTAAATATAAGGATATATACCTAAGAATAATGGGTTGTGTTTTGTTTAGTTTATTTAGCACCAATTAAAATCATAGCATAGACAAGGGGTTGCTATGCTAGCTAGAAACTACCGTGTTTCCCCAAAAATAGGACAGGGTCTTATATTAAATTTTGCTCCAAAAAAACCGCATTAGGGCTTATTTTCAGGGGATGCTTAATTTTTTTCATGTACAACAATCTACATTTATTCAAATACACTCAAGTCATCTACTGGTTGCTCCACAATGGTGGAGGGCAGGGTTACACTTAACTAGGGTTTATTTTTGGGGTAGGTCTTATATTATGAGCATCCTGAAAAAGAGCTTATTTTCAGGTTAGGTCTTATTTTTAGGGAAACAATACTTAAATTTGAGCACTGCATTACAGTTGAGTTTCACATGCAGAAACCTTTAGCACAAATTCAGTAAGGAATTCAGCAAAGTCACTTGTGTCAGGGGCCAAATCCCCAAATTTAAATGAGCTGCCAAATCCTCAGATCATAAACACTGGACAAATTAATCACCAGTTATCCACTATAGCATCAACTGGGAGGCAGTGTGCCTAGTGAAAAGCTACTGAACCCCTATATTTTAAAAGGCGCTCATCTGCATTCAGAGAGAAATGCTGTGGCAGACACAGAAAGGCTGCAGCTAACTTAGATGGGTGTCTGTTTATGATACCCCCAGTTAGTTCATAAAAGCAGGTTAAGAATTGCTAAGCTCTAGACACTTACCCTTTGCTCTTGTTCTTTCATCTCCTTCTCAAGCAGTTCTGACATGTAGCTGACAGCAAGGATCACATGAGTCACACCTGCCTGTCAAGGATGAGGAAATCAGCATTCACCAGTAGCTGCAAAACTAATGATGTGCAGAGGCCTGACAACCTTCTCTGAATAACAGAGGTCAGGGGTGATCTGCCCTATGATATTCCGATGACGCAGCAACCCAATACTTGCCATAGTCTGTGGTGATACTTGTGGATTTCTAGTACTCTGTGAAGACCCCATTCCTGTAACTAGGGAAATGAAAAGAACAAGGCCAGGGCACAGACTAAATGCCATAGACAGGATGGAAGGGCACCAGCAGAAGTCTGCAAAGCTGGAAGTTCAGTTTTATTTTTCCAAGCCACCAGAAGGTGGCTCCCATCAGCTTTCTAATGCAGCCTCTGCAAAAGGAGAGAGGGAGGGACTTTAAAAGAGTGCAGCTCTCCTTGAGTCCTTCTTAAGGCCAGAATAAACAGATCAGGTGCCTACTCTGTTAAATTTATGGCCCATCCCCTCCCAATCTCCACCCTTCTTGTTCTTGGATCTGGTGCTGTGGGCAGATTATTTAACAGCTTTGTAGCAGGAAACGCAATAAAAGTTCATTTCAAAGATAAACAGCCTGCTCTCCTTTGCCTTCCCTAGTTTTTCTTCCTCTTTCCTCACTTCTGATTGAGAGAGGTGTGAATGTCAGATTGAACACAGGTAACATGCTTCACCCTAATCATGCCTAATTCTACCCTGCGGTTACCACAGAAATACCACAATATCCCCGATTTTGTCTCACGTATACACATCTCGCTGAAGACAGTGCACACTCCTCTCCATAATACCCTACATTTCATTTATCATGGGCGCAAGTCACCGTCCCAGAAGACGGGACAAGCAAGTCGCACCACTGGCCCGGGAAGACGACTCTCGTAAGCTTAGAAAATGCTTCTGCAACCCTGGCAATCAACGTGCCTGAGCCTCAAGCCCGGCCTCTCCGCCAGCTTCGCCCTCGCCCACCCCCCTTCCGTACCTTCACCAAGGCCTCCACCTGGTGCAACAGGATGGGCTTGTTACAGAATTCGACCAGCGGCTTGGGGATGCTGAGCGTCAGCGGACGCAGCCGTGTGCCGTAGCCGCCCACCAGGATCAGTGCCTTCATCCTTGCCTGAGGGAAGGGGGACAGAACAGAGAAAGGGAGCCGCGGTCACATCCCGGCCCACGGGCCCCCGTTTAGGCCTTCTCGGCCACCCGCTCCGTTTCCTTTCCCCTCCCCGTTCCCTTCCTCCTCCGGGCTCAGCGAGACCGGCCAGCCAGCTTCGGGGTCCGGAATCTCTCGATCCTCGTCGGCCGAAGCGACCAGGTCCAAACACCGGAGGCCTGGACGAGAACAGACTCGGGTGAGGCTTCGCTGCACCTCCGCAGAGGGGACCCACCTGCCGCTCTCAATCGGACCCAGACGATCCTCTTCCCCGCCCGCGGCAGACCGAACGAGCCTCCACGGCATCCCCGTCAGGAGCCCGTTCGAAACCTCTGACCAATCAATGTCTTTGACGTGGCCTAACACGCTAGCTGTCCAATGTCAAGCGAGAGCAGACGTAGCAGCGGCCCAATCAGATAGAAAGCTATCCCGTTGTCACGGCAACCAGTAAAGGGGTAGAAGCGCGACCGGCTTTCGTCATATCAGGGCGCCAGCAAGATTCCCCGGGACACGTCGCTGCTCACGTTGCTGCCCAGTGAAGCAGGGCCACTTCGACTTAAGACTCCGCCCCTCAAAAAGACTCCGCCTCTTCTCTCGTATCCGCCCAGCTTCCGCACGGGCCTGAAACGTCACGCCGTGTGCGCAGTGACGCAAGCCTTAGAAACAGAGGCGCTCCCTTAGGGAAGCCGGAAGAGGGCGTCCTGCGTGACGTACGGGGCTGCCATGTTGGTAGTGGCACGGGAGAGGGGGAACCTGCGCCGTTATGCCCGAGCCGCTCTCTTCTCGTTCCAAGCGGCAGGTCGTTCAGCGGACGAGGGAAGGTTGCGAGGGGAGAGACCTTCAGCAGGACCCTTAAGGGATCGGGAGCGAGCGGACGGTACGTTGTGCTCCAGGGATGCTTCTGCGGTGGGTCAAGGGTGTAGCCGTTGTTCGCGTCTGTACGGGCCCCCGGTCCCTTGTGTCGGGTATAGCGGAGGGACGCGTGTCTTTTCGCCGTGGCTTTTCCCAAATGTAGGGAACGGGGTCGGTGGCTGATGAGAGGAACGGAGGGCGGGACCGTAACGTGGCGGGTCCGGAGACTTAAGAGCCGTGTCACCGAACCAGTGTAAGGGCTCCGGGTGCAGACCTAGAACAGACCCATCGCCGTCACGGGGCCTGAAGGGGGTCCCCACGACTAGCAAGCCCCAGTGATTGTGGCGGGACAGCGGGAAGCATGGCTTTAAAGTTCTGGGTCCAACCGAGTGAAAGATTTGTGGAGGGAGAACACCGCTAGCTCTTTGGGGCACCTGAAAGACGGAGAGGTGGTTTTGCGGCATAAGGTTTTTGAGGACACCGCCCGCTTCGGTTTCAAAAACAAGCCGCTGGCCTTTTCCTCCTCGTCCCCCCTCTGCAAATGTTCGGGAGCGGCACAGAGCCAGCCAGTGGGGGAAGTTCTGCTCTCACCAGAGGCAGCCGAACACTTTTCACCACTACTAAACATACTGTACTGTACTGTGTATGCGTGTATCTTGCAACATATTGACCTGTGTAAAGGATACGGTGTATTCTCTTCTAGAGTCCTCAGAAAGGCTTTCCTGCTTGGCTTTCTTCTCACCCATCACCACAGGCGCCACCAACAAATCTACATGCTAGCTTGTTCTGCGGCATAAGGTTTTGAGGACACCACCCACTTCAGTTGCATTTAACCAAAGCTGTAAAAAGCCAATTAATCTTTAAGATGCCACAAGACTCTAGTGCCTGCAGCATATTCCTTCCCCTCCCACCCCTTAACACTCTGTATAGTGCTGCGAGGAGCTTGATATTTGTATGTGTTTACTTGGAAACGTGATCTACCGAATAGAAAAGAGCGTATCTCCAAGTAAGGACTGTAGCCTCGCTGATTTATTGAGGATTGGAGCAGCAGCATCAGGCACAAGAAGCAGAGCAGCTACTCTCACAGTATGTTCTCTGGGTCTTAGTGGGTGGCTCAAATATCATTCCCAGATAATTGCAGGGTAATATCCTAATAATTTGACCAAACCCCCGGAGGCAGTGGAAGACAGGAGAGCCTGGTGTGCTCTGGAGCATTGGGTCAGGAAGAGTTGAACATGACTTAATGACTAAACAACAACAAAAAGGTCCTAATGTGTTTATTTATTAGTTTTATTTATATGCCGCATTTCTCCCGACAACGTTCACTGACTTCCATGTGTAGGGAAGCCTGCAATAGGGCTCTTTATTATTCTCCTGACTCCCCTGCTTTTTTCCAGCATGGGGACCATGGCCCATGAGCCGGCGCCCTGTACTGTCAAGAGCCCAGTAGCACTGCAAGTGGGCGACATGAGGACTGAACTAGGCCGGCCTGGTGTTTTGGTGATTGATGTTGTGCTTCCACATTCACAGACCATTGATGTAAGTTTGAAAAGTAGCCCATATTGGGGAGGTTGGTGATTGATATACGATATCTTTGCAGTCTGTTATTTCTTTAACTTTACAGCTGGTGTAAAAGCTAACTGTAAGCTAGGATATTTGTGCATCGTTTTTTCACTTTGTCACTAAAGGCCATTTCTCTACTTTCACTCCTATCTGTAACTAAGAAATTCTAACATCAGACTGCCCAAAGGTTCCCCAGTAAGAGAAGGAATGCAGCACATTATGTTGCTTGATATGGTTTCAGCTAACTTGGCATTTCCTGTTTCAGCTGCACGAGATTGTGTTCAAGAATTACTACACAGCCTTTCTAACTCTGCGAGTGCAGCGCCGCAACCCTGCAGATGGTGGGGAAGAGAGCCCTTCAAAATGGGTTACCTGCCTGAGGAACTACCGGCTGATGCCCAACCCACACACAGAGGAAGGCTCTCAAGATTACTTCTCTCTTTCCAGACATCAGGTCAGAATTTTAGCTTCTGTTAGCACTGCACATAGCTGGTTTGATTTTTCTACTTGCTCAGGGCTGTCTATTTATTTATTTTATTTATTTATTTATTCATTTTATTTCTGTCCTGCCTATCTGGACTTTTTAGACCACTCTAGGCGGCTTACGATCAACAACAAAAATACAATTTTAAAAACATTACAGCTAAACAGAAATAAAGATCAATGGAGGGTATAAAAAATAAAAATTGTCAGAAAAATCTATCTGATATGGCAACCTGTACTCAGACTAGGTGGGGCTCGTCAGCCATGGAACACAACCCATCTAGGAGAAGGAAAACTCTGATTTCAAACTTCCACTGCCTTGTGGCTATATCCACTCGTGGAAAAGGCTTCAGGAGTTAACCTAGAGGCAAAATCCGGAGCTGGAGTCCCGAAGGCAGTTCGTTTCGTTCTGCCAACTCCTGCGACGTTGCTGGAACCAGTTGTATTGGCTCTTGCCTTTCCATTGGACCATTTCAGCAATGTGGAGAGGGGAGATTTGCTGCTTGGGTAACAGCCTATCCTTATTACTTTACCCAGGCTTCATGCCCTGGAGAGGACATTCCTCAATTCAGAGCATGTTACCATGGTCTCTCGAGACTGAAGGGGGCTGTCTATCTGATATGGCAGCCTGTACTCAGACTCTCAACATTTGTTTTTTCTGCTGCAGCAAGTACATCATTCACAGTTTTTAAAATAGTATTTATAGTGTCACACGACCACATAAGGGAACTGGCTAGGGTTCTTTGTGCTTGCTGTAGTAGATTAGTATGGTTAATCTTAAGAATACAAGAAAACCATGCTGACTCAGACTAAAGACTTTTTGCTTATAAAGTGACCAAGCAGTTATCTACTAGAGGCTTACAAGCAGAACATAATTACAGCAGACCCAGCCCTCAGCCCAATATAAGCACTTGCAGACATATAGAAATGTACTGGCATCAGTATTTGAGGGCAAACCACCAAACAGCAAAACACAGCATTAATTAAAAGTATGGAGCTCAAGAAATAGTTAAAACCACAATATAGGAAGGAGGCAATTCAGAACCCAGCAGCCTGGCTGTCTTCAGTCTCCTCCATTATGCAACTTAACCTCAGATGCATACTTTAGACTTGGATTCAGCTGCTTTCTTCCCCTCCCCTCCTATCCCATCTGTTGCTTTATTTATCACCTTTCCTCAGGAAGAGTTCTGGGAAACTGTAAAGTTTGCAGTCTTTTATTATCTTTGAATTTCCAAAAGGATAGGTTCATCTGTTGAAGAAATCCCAATTATGGCACCTTAAAGGCTAACAACTTCACAGTGGTTTAATTTTCTATTGACTATAGCCCACTTTACCATTTGCATAAAATATTATGTGGAATTCTAGGTGTACGTACAAGGTGGTTTACAGACAATGAAATCAGAAGGAAATTATGGACAATAGCAGTTTAATTATTAATACAGTGGTGCTTCAACTTATGAACATCCCGACATATGATCATTTCGAGTTACGACCAGCTCTGGCCACAAAATTTTGCTTTGATTTGCAGCCAGAGCTTCCAGTTATGAACAGAAAAAGACAGGGGGAAAAGGCAGGGAATTCAAATTGCTAACCATTGGTAGACAAAGAGGCTGCTTCTTTGTAGCTGTTTTGCCCCAATGGTGAGTGCAATCAGAGCAGGCTTCGAACTGCTTGGTAAGGTAAGGTGCTGCTTTCTGCTTTTTAAAAACTGTTCTGGGTGGGTTTTGCAGTGTGGTTTTGGGCCGGGTGATGGGATTATGTTTCTGTGCTGTGGTGGGTCTTGGGGGGGGTTATTTGTTTTTCCCATTTCCGATGGGTCTTGGGGGGGTTGTTTGCTTTTTGGGTTTTTTCCCCATTTCCGATGGGTCTTGGGGAGTTTGCTTTTAGGGTTTTTTCCCCCATTTCTGATGAGTCTTGGGTTTGTTTGCTTTTGGGGTCCCCCCCCATTTCCGATGGGTCTTGCAAGGTTTGTTTGCTTTTTGGTTTGCTTTTTTTTGCATTTCCGATGGGTCTTGCATAGTTTATTTGCTTTCTGCTTTGCTTTTTTTGCATTTCTGATGAGTCTTGCACGATTTGCTTGCTTTTCTCCCCCCCCCCCTTTGGCTGGAACTGATTAATTCTGTTTCCGTTGGGGCCAGAACAGATTAATTGCATTTCACTGCATTCCTATGGGAAATGGTTCTTCGACTTACAACCATTTTGAGTTACGACCGGAGTTCTGGAACCAATTAAGTTCGTAAGTCAAGGAACCACTGTATTGTCCATTTCAAATAAGGCTGTATGCAGACAAACGTTCAGTTGCTAGTATAACAGGAAACTTTCATCTAAATTCCAAACTTTGGAGAGTTAGGTTTCAGTCTATACTCTTACTGTTCCAGTGGCACATGTTCCAATAATGTTGTGTCCTTTGTTTTGCCAGATGCTTTGTGATGTGGACCGGGTCGCTGCCATGCGTTTCATCCTGCGCCAGCCATCTCCAGTGTGGCTGCATTTCACCATTGAGGAGTTGCAGCTTTTCCCTGGGAGTCAGAAGGTGTCTGCCTCACTTCTCCTAAGAGGACCTTTCCCATCTGTCACCACTGTCCAATTCATCCTGAGACTTTATATTGGTCCACTGACCTATGTGAATAGCAGTCAAATGAAGTCTTTTTCAGAAGGGGGTTTGGGGTCCTAGAATTAATTATTCTTCAGTGCTCTTAGGGGTTCATCTCCTTCCCAAGAGATGCTAAGATATCCTGCTTAACTGGAGAAGGTGATGCACCTAGAACACTTCTTTTGATTCATATTTACCAGGCCACCCCCACTTCTTCTTTTCCTTGATTTGAGATGATTCACTTCAGTAGTAAAAACCATACCTTTGGCTTCCATAGAGTCATACTTGCTATCTTCTTTAATTGCTTGACTAAGTATTGTTTGGGTTTCCTGTGTGACCCAACTATTGAACCCATCAGCTCCACATTAGCCCATTCATGGATCTCGGTCATCCATGAAATAAGCATGCTGCTTGCTTCCTCATTCTAAAGCCAGTGCCTTAGAATTCACATCCTGTGTGTGGCTCCTGAATAAAGCTGCCAGAGGTCCCCTGTGTGCAGAGGACCCATTAGTAATCCATCCTTGGTGTTAACTCTTCAGTGGCCAGGTGTAATTTTGAATCTGGCCTTAGAATGATCTTGACCTGTAAAATCCAGCTTGCGGGAGGGATGATGAAAAATGAAACTGAGGCGGTCCAACTTTGGGCATATAATGAGAAGACAGGATTCTCTGGAAAAGACAATGATGCTGGGAAAGGTGGGAGGCAGCAGGAAAAGAGGAAGACCAAATACAAGATGGATTGACTCCTTAGAGGAAGCCACAGGCTTGAGTTTACAAGAGCTGAGTAGGGCTGTTGAGGACGGAACATTTTAGAGATCTCTCATTCATAGCGTTGCCATAATTTGGGGAAAACTTACAGCAGATATCATCATCACCACCACTTCTTTCTTGTTGGCATGTAGCCTGCTGTGAGAGACTAAATTGCTAATATGTAAAGAACTGGGGCAGCCATGAGATGGAGTGATGCAGTTTCCTCCAATGGTGGCATGCTTGGGATACCAGCACAACCACTGCAACCCAGTTACTGGACCCCCATGACTTTACCGCTGTTGCCTCCCCCCACTTCTGGGGGGAGGAAGACAAGAGTGATGACATTGACGGCAAGTTGTTCTGAATTGATGCCGGCTGCCTTGTCACCTTTAGAGCATAGCTGCTTTTTGCCTGAGGCCTGGGTGGTTGCAGCCAAGGCACTATGAGAAGCCCAAAGACCCAGGTTTTAGGCAGATACTATGGCCATACTCCAAAGGTGACCAGATAGCCAGGAACAGTTCAGAAACAAGCCACTGTCCTTTTCCTCCTTGTCCCCCCTCTGCAAATGTTCAGGAGTGGCATGGAGCCAACCAGTGGGGGAAGTTCTGGTCCCACCATAGGCAGCAGAACACTTTTCACCACTGCTAAACATACTGTACTGTGTATGTGTATATCTTGCAACATATTGACCTGTAAAGGATGCAGTGTATTCTCTTCTAGAGTCCTCAGAAAGGCTTTCCTGCTTGGCTTTCTTACCCATCATCACAGGAGCCACCAACAAATCTACATGATGTAAGTATTATCACTGAGACCTGGCTCAAGAACGTCAACAAGGATTGGTTAGGCTGGCCAGCTCCTGTGGAGGAGTAGCTTTTATGAAGATATACTGTATCAACAGAAGCAGGGGAATATAACTGTCCTTTGTTTTCAGGGACTCCCTGATGCGGGCAAAGTGTCTTCTGAAGTGCAACAAATGTGGGTTCTGACTGAGATGCTCCAGACCAATCAACCAGCCACACGAATTGGACGTTTTGATGTTAGTTCCTTGTTCTGTTTTTTTTGTTCTGGTAGAGTGTCTTCATTGCAGTGTAGCCAGAATCCAAATACAGCAAGAAGAGTTGAAACCTTTGTCCCACAATTTGTGGATACCTTCACGGTTTTGCTGCCCATAGTCGTGGCCTTCCATCATGATGTTAGAAGAGACCTGTTGAATCAGGTCAAAGTTCCATTTAATCCATTGAAGGCAGGCAGATGCAGTGATTATTGAAAGCCCCACTGAAAGATGTTTCTAGTCCTTGTGAAATTCTTTATATCCTATTTTTGTTGCTCCATTAAACTTAGGACGGCTTCCAGGACTTTTTTTCTCCTGCTTTAATTTTTCAGACCTATAGGGTGAGTGGGGAATCTAATCCACTCCCCCTAGTCCAGTGGTGGATAGCCTGTGGACCTCCAGATGTTTAAGCGATAACTCCCGCCATTGGCCTTGCCGACTGGTGCTACTGAGAGGGAGGGCTTAAAGCTCCTCACCACTACCCTAATTCACATTTAGTGATTATCAGCATTTTTATAATAACCTTTTGATAACCCAGTGAAATAGATTAGACTGAGAAAGAGTTGACTGTCCTAGGGGGTAACCCAGTGAATTCCATGACTTGATGGGGAAATGAAGCTGGGTTTTCCTAGTCCAGTACTCTTCAACCATTAGACTACTCTGGATCTCCTTATGTTGGCCTAACAGTGGTCTGTTGGAGAAACGTACATTCTACCGTGGTCCTAGTCTGCTCAACTTCTACTAAAATTTAAAAAAACCTCTCATATATTTCAGGTGGATGGTTCCTATGATTTGAATCTCTTGTCCTACACTTGAGTTTTCTTCTTGGGTTAGAAGACAACAAGGCAACTCGAAGCTGAACTCTCTGGGTTTATTTCCAAAATCCCTACATTTCGGATTTGCTTGAAGCAGAAAGAAAGATGACTACATACATCTGATGGCTTCATGTTGTAGTCCTCTCCCTTTGTTATTTTGAGGCAGCATTTTGGCCTCTGACTCTCCAAGTCATTTGTGGAAAACAGCCTCTGTAACCCTGCATTTCACATAAAACCGTGGAAGACTGGATTCTCCAAATAGAAGCAACCTTACTCGGACCTGTCATTTTCTACTTTGCTTTTCAGAACTTTCTACTTTATTCAAGCTTCTTTTTAAGTATCCTCTTCAAGAACCTGATACTGGAAAAACAGGGAGAAACAAAACCCTTTCTTTGGCAATGGAATGACTTAAAATGCCAAGACCTTCGAGCAGTTTGTTCTGAAATCCAAGGATGGGACATCCAATTATGTGATGAATTCCTCTGCTGTGGCTACCTCACTTGCAATCCTAGAAAGCATACTTATTAAAAATATACAGTATTTGGGGGAGGGGAATAAGGGAAGTTTCCTGAGTACTTCAAATTCCCTATTCTTTTTAAAGCGAGAGTGGACTGTTTTTGTGGATGTTTAGATCAAGGATGGATCAAGTGCCATCTTCCGCACACTGTTGGATTGTGACACTCAGTATTTACTCTGCTAGTTAGGGTTCAGGGGAGAGGCTGTCCAAAAACATCTGGAAGTCCGCCCTTCCTCTAGACGTTGCTAGGTTCTGTTTCACAGCAGATGTGCTCAAGCATATCTAGTAGTCAACAGCGTGACCTCTGTGTAGACATAGATTCTTGACCTTAGTGAAATGTGAATAGCTTAGTTCATGATTGCAGAGGCTTAACCCTGACATTTCCCAAGCTAGCAGGGCCATAATTACAATGCACTAATGGTTGTATTCAGAGAAAAATAATGTTAAATAGAAGTGCTGGTTTGCACTGTGTCAGAGTAGCTGCATGTTGGTTTTTCAGTTGAAGCCTGGAGCCCTTTGTCATTTCTAGTTGTGAAAACACTAGAACAAATCCTTCTGGAGTTCTTGGCTCAGGGACAACATTACTTTATAGAAAGTTGGGTTACATCAAAGTTAGCAGATGCTAGTATATTCTTAAAAAATTTCACACTTTAACCTTCTGTTTCACCTCCTCAGCTAGCTGTTGCACGGTTGTGTAGCTCTTTTCTTACATCAATGAATTACTTTACTCGCTCAGTAAGTGTTGAGAGCAAGGATATATAAATTGTTATGGGGAAAGGATGGTTTCAGATTACTTATGCATCAAGAACTGCTGTGTTTAAGAAATCAGGTTCTCAGTTATCGGTCAGTAAAAGTTATCTGAAACTTCCTATCCAAGGGCTGATCTGACTGCTTAAAAGAGGATATCTGGGCACTTTCCCTATTTGCATAGTGCCATATAGCTTCCATCTAAATGCACTTTCCTCATGGTAATTGTTACCCAAAGGACCAAGTTATAGAACAGACTAAATTATTGCTGTGGGGTTGTGACTTTTGGGAGGTTTTTAAATGCTGGACCTTAGATCTCAGGAGCAAGCTTGTACTATTTGTTTGTAGCTGAGTAGTTTTAATTCCTGTTATTTATTATGAACTATTTATGTTGCTTATTTATAACTGGGAAGAACTGCAATGTTTTCCAATCTTTTGTATTAAATCGGGGTCGATGTACTTAACTCTTTCCCAGTAGACAATAATAAAAATAAATCTTAATTCATATTTATTTATTTATTAGACTTCTATACTGCCCATCTAAAACATGTCTACTCTGGGCAGTTCACACACACACAAAAAATACAGATATAATAAATGAAAACATAAATACATTAAAAGATGGGGGCCAGTTTTACTATAAGAGTTCAAGATGGGAGAAAAGGAAAAGGGGAAAAAAAAAAGCTAAGTGATGGCTGTTGGGAAGGTTTTACTATAAGAGTCCAAGATGGAAGAAAAGGAAAAGGGGAAAAAAAGCTAAGTGATGGCTGTTGGGAAGTCCTGCCTGTAGAGCTAGGTCTTTAGTTTGTTCTATGTTTCCTTGAATATACACACATATCACCACATTTCCCATATTTATGCACTTGTAAAACCTGTTAAATTTAAATTTTAACATATTTTAGGCCTTTAAAAATTACTGTATGAACAAGGATGATTTTGTCTCCTGCACTGTCTTGTCTATGATATCAAGGAGGAGGAATGGCAGTACACAAATGAGAAAGAGACCAAAGTGTAAAGAAAAGTTGCTTTCAAATTCTCAATCATAATTAGTAGCTAAATGAACAAAAGGAAAGAAGCCAATCTTAATAAGCCAGAAGAGGTTTGCAAATTAAGATATATATTAAGATATAAAAGATATGGAAAATAAGGAAGGAAAGTAGTGAGTTGAGTCACTCTGCTTTGTTGTGCTATGCAATCTTGATTTGTTGCAACCAAAGAGACTGATCTGCATGTTTTATTGTTTAAAATTACTATATTTTTCCATGTATAAGACTATACTTTTGTCTAAAATCTTTAGACTAAAAATTGAGGGTTGTCTTATACACGGAAGTAAGCCAAGGAAAAAAAACAAGTGGAGAGGAAAGCAGGGAGTCAAAGTGATCCTACAGGACTTTGATCCCTGCTTTCCCCTTCACTTGCTAAGCCTTAGGAAAAGGAAAGTAGGGATCAAAGTGCTACAGGATCGCTTTGATCCTTGCTTTCCCCTCTGCTAAGTCCCATGGGGCTTAGCAAAAGGAGGAGGGAAGGATCAAAGCAATCCCATGGCTGTATAACGAAGAAAGGGATCAAAATGATTGTGCAGTCGTGGATTTGCTTTGATCCCTTTCCCCCTCCTTTTGCTAAGCCACGCAAGGCTTAGCACAAAGGGAGAAAACAGGGATCAAAGCCATCCTGCAGTCTTTGATCCTTTTTACCCTACATTTGCCAAGCCCCACTTAGATTTCTTAACTTTAGGATAGAAGCGTCTTATACATGGGGGCATCTTATACAGAGAAAAATATGGTATTTTTAAAATGTTACTTAATTCAGCAGTTATGTAATGTAAAATGCTGCAGTGGGTGTTCCTTAAATGAAAAAGTATCTAAACTGAAATATTATCTTTACACTTTCTAATGTCCAAATAAACATTAGGCGGAATATGGGGGCTTTTGGGAGATGGGTAGAAGAATGATTTGGGGACAAATATAGCCCTGGATCCTGCATGTAGCCCATACCTATCCTACAATCATAGCTTCGCTTCTTCTCCCTTAAAGTGTTAAGGATTTAGAGGGAAATGAAATGCAGCAACTACAGCTAGTGGTATTTAACATGGTCATTAACAGTTTGGTGCCGTAGCCTATTTTTTCCTCTTCTTTTGTGTTTCTTGTCGAAATACTTGCACAACTAACAGGGCTACAACTCTGAAAACTGGTGGTAACAGATAAGCTCCTATGGATGGACTGATTATCAGATGTGATGAGATAACAAACCTTTTCTTCTATTCAATGCTGCAGGAGACAGACTGGAGGTACTTGATGTATTCCTGTGTAGTGGTAAAGAGTCCTCTGGGTTTAGAATATATATTCTTCGTGATTGATTAAAGGCATCACCTGCTTCAGCCTCTGTATTGTTTCTAGGGCCATATGCAGCCTTTTTCTGATTTTTCCTGAGTAACCCAAGGTTGGGAACTAGTACCCCAGAGGACTGTTTACCACTAAATACATCAAGTACCTCCAGTTACATATATAAGTTATATATATATAAGTGAAGATGATTTATCATCAAAAGCTCTCTTATATATATAAGTGAGTCCTAGAAACTCACAACCATGCAAATGAGTTTATATATACTATGAGTCCTAGAAACTCACAACCATACAACTGAGTTTATATATATATGAGTCCTAGAAACTCACAACCATTGAGTTTATATATACTATGAGTCCTAGAAACTCACAACCATACAACTTGCATGGTTGTGAGTTTCTAGGACTCATATATATGAGCTTTTGATGATAGATCATCTTCAAGGCTCTGCATCAAGTTATTGTGGGCAGTTCCAAACTCAAGTGCTGCTTTAATGTCCCAAATTCACATGTATGATGGTGGAGAGGCCAGGTCAGCTTCTTAGATGGAAACCGGTGTCCCACACGCATGTTGGTTTAAAGCAGTGGTTCCCACTCTAGGGTGGTCACGGGTTCCTGGACCGCAACTCTCAGATGCCTTCACCAGCAGCTGTGATGTCCACGGTTTCTGGGAGTTGCGGTCCAGGAACACCTGGGTTACCCCGGGGGTGTGGGAACCACGGCTCTGGGGCCACGTTCTAAGCTCCTGATGAAGGAACGAGCCTTGCCCATATTCATCGCGCCACAAGAGGTTTCTTTTTGTCTGTTCGTGAAGCACATCCTGCTTGTGTTTATTTTATCCTCTTTTGACTCGGTAACGTCTGCAACCACCACCCATGTACCCGAGAAGTGTCCTCCTTTGGACAAGCCGTCCCGGGTCCCTTTGTATTGTATTGCCTTCCTTTCCCTCTCGGTTGGTGTAAGAAGGGAAGGGCCGGTCTTGGGACCGACGGGCGGGAGTGGGGGCGACTACATTTCCCAGGGTCCTCTTGGGAAGGGGCGCAGGCGGGGTAGGAGGGGCCCTCGCGCCTCCTTCGGTCCTGTCGGAGGGGCGGCCGGCGGCTTGGAGAATGCTGCGGGCGGGTGCTGCTCTTGGCGCGGTCGTGAGGGTCGCGGCTCCCCGCTTGGGGACCTCCGGAGCTGCTGCGGGCGAGAAGCGGGGCTTGGCTTCTGGGCAGGTGAGCTGCTGGCGGGGCGAGACCTGGCGGAGGGCGCGACACGGACTCTCCCTCCCTTCTCCCCACCACCACCATACACACCTGTACGAAGCAGGCGTCCCGGACAGGGATGGTTGTCGGGAAAAGTTGTCCCGAGTGGGTCGCATTTACAGCCTGCATAATTCAAAGCCTGCACAAGGAACATAGGCTGGGATCAGCTGTAGTACCTGTTTTTATAAAAGTCCGGTCTCTCGTCTTTGTTTCAATAACGGGACCCCGGAGCATGTGCAGAATGCATTTATTTCCAATCAAGTGGCTTCGGGTGTAGGGGCATTCCACTAAGTAAGATCGTCCTTAACGAGCATGTTCAATTCCTTGAACTTTAATGTAATGAATGGAAGGAAAGACTAGGACTCCGGGAGATCTGAGTTCGAATGTCCACACTGCCGTGGAAACTCACTGGATGGCCGTGGTAGTGGAACTGGTAAAACCATTTCTTAAATATCTCACATACCTCAGAAAAAACACTGTTAGGGTTGCTAGAATTTGTGTCAGATGCAATTTAGGAACACGTAAAATTCATTCCTTGAATCAATCTCTTTAGAAATGGAGGACTTTGGCCAGGCTTTGTGGGCGTTTCAGGGTCACACTGAATATCTGGCAGCCATTGGAAACAGACCAGGGTGTCTCCTCCTGGGCCCTGCAGGTGGCACCTGGGATTAAAGGTGGGAATGCTGGAAATACAACCAACCAACTGAAGGGGGGCTGAACATCCCCTTTTTTTTGCCTTCATTAGGCAAAAAACAAGAGGCACTTACTGGGATTCTAGGGGGGGGGCTCTAGACTTGGATGATTAATGTTGTTGAATGTAATTAAGTATCTGGTTTGTTGTGTTGAGCCTATTGCCCTCCCTGAACAAAGTTCTTAATAGGCTGTGAGAGAAAGGGGGAAATTTCCAGCTGTGGCCTAGAATAGAGGCAGGTGGGCTTTGGCTGACAGCCTAAAGCTGAAACAGTGAGTTTTTGGGTGTTTTGAGGGGTAGTCATTGGGGAGCTGGCATCGTTGGGTGTCTGTTGAGACCCCAAGGTGAGAAGCTGGCTGGTGCTGACCCAAAGATTAGCTGGTGCGGAGGAGGAGGAGGAGGAGTGGCAGTGGCACCTGCTGGCAGTGACCGTTGGGCCCTCTCTCTCTCTCTCTCTCTCTCTCTGTGTGTGTGTGTGGGGGGTTGTAGGGAGGATTGGCAGAGGCACCCAATATCAATGACTAGCCTTGGATGACCAGATACCCTGTGGGAGCACTAATTGGCATTGCCCATTCTTCCAATGCCAGCAGCTTCTCCCTTGCGCCTGAGTGGTTTGGGTCTCTGGCTGTGGAGCCAGAGGCTGGGAGTTCAGTTCCCCACTCGGCCTCCTTGACAGGGGCTGGACTTGGTGATCCATCGGGTCCCTTCCAGCCCTGCAGATCTAAGATCATTTTACCGTAAACACTATTTGCCTTGTTTAGAATTGTAAATCACACCAATTTATAAGAATATTTTTCTTAAGATAATTATGGTGATCCTGTTAGCCATAAGCATTTAGATAAGAACTTAACAGCATGGGAATGGAGATAAAGGAGACCTGTAGGGTGCAAAGAGCGAGCAGGTTTGCTTTCCTCTTGACATTGGGTTTGTGATAAGGTACAAGTGAACAAGGCTAATAACAAAGGTCACAGGAAACACAGAGACGGCTGCTGTCACCCGTCACTCCCTCAAGGAGAAATTGGACTGGAAATGGGTGCTAAATGAAAGCTGAATTAGAAAGGCATGCGTACTAGGAGGATGCTCATGGTATAACAGGGTCAGCGGTGCAGAGTTTGTGCCTCTCCAGACATTGGTCTGCAAGGCCCTCTCTCCCTTTTGGTTGGCTTGGCTAGAGTTGGTAGGAGGTGCCGTCGTAACATCTGGAGGGTGGCAACTTGGTCTGTCCCTGGTCTGTCTTTTGGAAGGAAACCTCAACCAGCAGAAAGTGGTTTATCATCCCTTAATCAAGCAGTGTGCAGTCTTTGACCTTCAAGATATTTTGGATTCCCACCATTGTTTGCCATTGATGCCATGCTGGGTGGGGCTAAGAGGAGTTGGAGGCCAAGAAGTCTGGAAGGACAAAAGCTTCCCTGCTCCTCCCTCAACTGAGACAGTCTATCTCTACCATAGAGTAGGAAAATGCTCTTCCTTTTAGCCGCAGGACAAGGCCGATAATGGATGCTCTCGGCCCACTTTGTTCTACATGTTTCTGGATTATCTTTTGATGGGGGTTCCCGGCAACTGCTCTTCAAGACACTCCCTGCCTTTCTCTGCAGGAGACGCTGAAGCAGACACCTCTCTACGATTTCCATCGGCACCATGGTGGGAAGATGGTGGCCTTTGCAGGCTGGAGCCTCCCGGTGCAGTACACACACAGCCACTTGGAGTCCCACCTGCACACACGTCAGCACTGCTCACTCTTTGATGTATCTCATATGCTTCAGGTAAAACTGGAGGATGGATGCCAGAGGTCACAGAGGACTGACCCATATAGTTGTTGGGTCCCATTCACTCTTCAGCATGTTTCACAGACACTTGTTCATTCTTCTGCCCCCATCCTTAGCAGTCACTTCCAGAGGTAGCAAATTTAACCCAGTTTAGTGGCATCTGGCTAAATGTGAAACTCTGGTGCAATTTTGGGGGGAGAGGATCTCCAGCCTTTCTCAACCAGATACCTCCCATATATGTTTGGGTTATGGGGGCTGTATTCCCAAGATATCTGGGAGGTGCTGAATCAGGGCAAAAAGGGATTTTGCACCTTGAGAAACAGCCCCAAAGCTATAGCAAAAGCTAGGGCGCTGCATTCCCATCATTGATCATTGTGCAAAAGGAATTTTTCTGCTGCAAAATGTGCCTAGAAACTGTGGCGAACCACAGCTGCCTGGGACATCTTTACCACATAGAATCAGCTACTCTTTGAAATCCGGTTCATTCCTGTGATCTCCCCTCCCCCTACCCTATGAGGAAGGATTCTGAGTGCTTTGGGGGGATTATTGCAGCAGCTCATTGGAAGGGATCTGGGCTGATAAACTCAATGTGTTCTCTCTCTTTTTTTCATACACAGAGAAAAATGTAGTACAGCAGCAGAGGGCATATCTTGGCAGGTATGAGACGATAGGTTTCTGCGAGGGTAGTCCTGAATGCTGACTGAACACAAGCACACTTACCACAGCTGTGTGTAACATAAAATAGCAAATGCCATCATCCTTAGCAGCAGTAGCATATGCAATGTTAATGTAGCAAAACTGCATCTGTAACACTGCTTCTGTTTGGTGTGTAAATTCTTAGAGGGATAAGAACAGCTTATTTTTAAATCTTAAGATGTGAGGAAGGGCTAAGGATCTTTGGAAATGCTCCAGAACATGGCAAAAATGTCTCCCAATCCTTCTAGAGCAGTGGTTTCCAACCTTGGACCTCCAGATATTTGTGGACTACAACTCACAGAAACCTTCACCACCACCTCTGCTGGCCAGGATTTCTGGGAGTTGAGGTCCAAGAACATCTGGAGGCCCAAGGGTGGGGATCACTGCTCTAGAGGGCACCACATTTTTGAAGGAAAAAGTCTTTTTAAAAAATAAAAAAATTGGGAAGCTGGGAGGCATGCTGAGGACTGTGTTTGGGGTCCTGGGGCTCTATGCAGCACACAAGGGGCATATACAGCCCCTGGGGCCACACTTTTCACCCGTTTTGTCGGTTAATGTTTTGCCAACGATAATTGACTTCACCCAACAAAAGTACAGCTGCTGTTCTTACTTTTCAAGCAGATCCAGTCTGCTTTCGCAGTGTTGATGAGATACACCACGATTTCCCCAGGACTGTACAACTTGCTTGTGAAACTCCCTGACCAACAGTCACATGCCAGTTTATGATTAAGCAATGTTTGTTTTCCAGTTCTGGTGAACCTGGTTTGCTAGTCAGAGGTTCCAATTAGAGAAACTAGCTTCTCTAATTAGAAGGTGCACCAGCTTCCTCCACCTTCTGAATCAGAACAGCTGACTTGGGACAGAGTATTTCTGGTTATGGCACCCTAATTTTAAAATGCTCCCATGTGAGAAGGCTTGTCTCTCTGCTGCTCATTTCAACACCAGGGAAAGTCCTTTTGAATCTTTTCAGCAGCTCTGAAATATGCCATTTGTTTGTTTGTCTGTTTAACTCTGAACTGCCCTGGCAGGACATAGGCAGTTGAAGGGGAGGGAGAGGTGGTTGGTTGGGGAGATAAGCAAGCACTTTCTTTAACCCTCCAGTCTGTCTCTGAGATCAAGTCTTTCAGTAGCAGTACTGGTTACATGTAACTGCACCATCTTGAGCAGCTGATTGCCACACAGCTCAGATACTGCATGTATATTTGCTGCACTTGATGACATGCAGGTCATGTGAGATCACTCTCCCTTTTACAGACGAAGGTTTTTGGCAGAGACCGGGTGAAGTTCCTAGAAAGTCTAGTGGTTGGAGACATTGCAGAGCTGAAGCCTAATCAGGTATGTTTGGACCCAGTAGGTTTCACACAGATACACTTTAGTAGAAACCATGCTGGTTCGGATGTGGGATACTAGTTTCAAATGCTTCCTCAGTTATGCATCTTGGAAAAATGACTCAGCCTATCATTCCAGAGGGTAGTTTTAGAGGGGAAAACGGATAAACTTCCCTGAGTCTTTTTTAGGAAGGACAGGAAACAGTGTCAAAATAATGCATGGGCACCTTGGTGGGCCTTTTCCATATGAAAAAATAACACCTATTTCATTCTTTGCATGATGCCCCTGGAAACCCTAAGCCACTACCAATAATACAATATTTCAGTATAATGGCTGTATAATGGCTTTTTAAAAAGCTAATATAATATTGTCACTAACAGAACCATAATACTGCCAAGATGTGTTAAAACAATTAAGGGGATGGGGTGTAGAAAAAACAGCCCTGAAAATGAAAGTGCTTTTAAAAATAAGGCTTGAACAGCAGTTTATTAAGAGTCATTCAAAAATAATCAGCCAACTGTCCAGCCAAGCAAGGTCATTATACAATAACATTACAAAATAATTTCTTTTATGGCTGACAGTTGAACGCTTTTATGTTGCAATGTGTTAATACCACCAAAGATAGCATTTGCAAATCCTGTAAGTTTCACCCTGTGTAATTACAGTACTCTTGTTTTATATAGTACTTTAGTGTACCAGATCTTATATGTTACAGGCCTTTACTCCTCCAGGCTTTGCAACAATTTTAGTCATAACAATAATGTTTATCATCTTTGTGGTAGCCTGCCAGATTCTGAGTTACAAGTGTTACAATAACAATAAAGATTCCTATTAATTTTTTTTTCCTTGGTGCATCATAACTCATTCAAACTGGTTTAGCTGAGTGAGCATTTAGAAATATTTAGGCTTAAAGACCAAAATAAGGACTTTACTTTCTACTTACTTTTAAAAGCATTGGTGTTTTGGAGAAGTATTGTCTGCTGTTTAGATGTGCCTCTTTTATGCTATATTTTCCATTATTTTTGGATTCAAATATGATTTAAATTTCTGTTTGTAACTTTTATAGCTAAAAGCTTACAGTTGAAATATATTTTTCTGCCTAATTTCTGCCTAAAGCTTAAGTTTTGTTTTTGAATGTAATTTTGTTTTCAACTTCTCGTTGTAAGAATTTTGGATGGCAATCACACCCGCAGTTTTTCACAGTTCACAAGGTTATATCTTTAAGCATTTCTGCCTGCATTTTTTCATAGTTGCAAGACTTTAGGATGTTTTCAAACTTTAAAGTATTTTCAATACATGGAATATGTTGATAAATAAAGCTTGTAGAATTAGTCAATCTGATGTTGCTTGGAATTTTTGAAAAGATTTATACCTTGCTACCTAGATGAATTTTGACATGATTGGAGATTATTGTCTGATTTCATTCTGGAATTAACCTGTAAATGGGATACAACGGTGTTATAAGGAAAAGACAGAGAGTTGCATTGTTCCTTATTAATCAGAACACTGACAGTCACCAATACTGTCCAGCAATTGTTAATGCCGCTTCATGTCATACAACAATAAAAACAGGAATGTATTTTATGGGAAAATCACTGATTAGTTCTAATACATGGCTTTGATTTTTCTTTTATAATTAATTCTCTAACCTGTTATAAAGCTAAAACCTTCCTTCCATTGCTTGCTGGGAACCAGAGTGGTGTAGTGGTCAGAGTGCTGAACGGGGACTTGGGAGACTCAAGATGAAGTCCATATCAAGACCTGAAAAAGAGCCTCGTGGCGCAGTGGTTAGAGTCCATATCAAGACCTGAAATTCATTTGGTGACCTTCAACCAGTCATTTCCTCTTAGTTTCATAGTTCTGGTAGGTAAGCTGGGAAGGCGAGAGCTATGTATGCCACCTTAAGCTCATTAGATAAGGAACAGAATATAAATGTTAACCAGAATAATAATAATTATGATAACAATAATAACAACAACAACAGTAACCTGCTCTCTGAAACCTGTAGTTCAAAACATGCTGAACTCAGCTTCACTTTCAGGGGACTCTCTCTTTGTTTACCAATGAAAAAGGAGGCATCCTAGATGACTTAATTGTGACCAGCACCTCGGAGGAGCATCTCTACGTAGTCTCTAATGCAGGTTGCAGGGACAAGGATTTAGCCCTCATGCAGGTATGTGGTTCTCACGAGCCTGGTCTCCACAAAGTTCACTCTAAAGAAGCGAAGGAGCCGGAGGCAGGTAAGAGAAGTGGTATTCGTGACTCAGTAGGCAGAGGGTTGGCGTTTTCATTTGCAGCCTCAGATTGTGGCCCTCATGAAAGTGGGGAAGGCCAACGTGCAGCCTTCCAGTTGTTCCTGAACAACAGCTGCCATTAGTACTAGCCCAGCTGAGGATGAGGGCTGCAGTCCCACATCTGGAGAGGCACACATTCCTCATCCGTCTTCCTAGAGAGATTGATCTAATCACTGAGAGGAAGCCAGTTGCTTGGCACGGCACCACACTCTTACTGCTGTCTTTGTATCCTCTCCCAGAACAGAGCAAAGGAAGCAAAAGCAACTGGGTGTGACGTGAACTTGGAGGTTTCAGAGAATGCTTTGCTTGCATTGCAAGGTAAATGTAAGCCATGCTGTAGTTACCTTGTGAGAAGATGTACTGAACTGTGGAATTAAACAAATGTTCTGATACCATAGTCTCTCCCAATCTTACCTTTTTATCTTCCTGAAACAGGTTAGAGTTGTTTTTGTTTGCTCTGTCCCACTGAGTTCATTGAAGGGAAGGTAGGATATCAATGCAACTAGCTTGCTGGATAGCCCAGTGGGTTGGAGCACCTAAGGTCAGGAGTTCGATTCCCTGCTGTGCTTCTCCGGAGAGTAGCCAGCCTGTGCAGCCTTGGGTTAACTGCATGGTCCCAGTGGGCTACCAAAAAGAGGGACTGATAAATCACTTCTTTTTGTACCTAGAAAACCCTGGGTCACCATAAGTCAGAATCAATCTGACAGAAAGTATTATCAATAATATTTAATTGCCACCATGTTCTACAAGTGGCCTAACTATATCTTGCAACTGAAGCTCAGTTTCATCACATAGGGGCTTAGGTAAATACTTTGGGGGGAGGAGACTGCTGAACTACCCCCCTCCCCCCAAATGGTGTGCCAGCTTTTCAGCTTCTCTTCTGGTTCCTCCCTCCCTCCTTTCGTCTGCCAGGTCCTGCCATGGCCCGGGTACTACAGGCTGGGGTGTCAGATGATCTGACTAAGCTGCCTTTCATGACCAGTGCAGTGATGGCTGTTTTTGGAGTGCCGGGCTGCAGGGTGACGCGCTGTGGTTACACAGGGGAAGACGGCGTAGAGGTACCATACAAAGCAGTTCTTTAGTCAGCTAGCCAAAGGACAGGAAGAGGCTGTGGAAAGAGCAGAGTGGCTGAGCTAAGATGCTGGGTGGCCGGTGACTGTGGTTGGGTTCCTGAAAGACTGAATTATTTCTGGCTGGGGTTGGTGCAGGAGAGATAACTGAATCTGGATGGTTGAGAAGGGATGAGGGATCATCAACCAAATCCAGAGATGACAATGAATGGACTTTAAAGTACAGGATAGTAGTAGGATCGGGACAGGTGAGCCAAAGTCTGAAGCTGGAGGGAAGGTGATGGCAGAAACTACACTAACCAAATGCTAATGCTTTCCTGTGTCCAGATCTCTGTCCCTGCAAACAGAGCAGTGGAGCTAGCCGAGATGCTGCTTAGGGATTCTACCGTCTGGCTGGCTGGGCTTGCTGCCCGGGATAGCTTGCGCTTGGAGGCAGGTCTGTGTCTGTATGGGAATGACATTGATGAGACCACAACCCCTGTGGAAGCCAGCCTGATATGGACTCTTGGTAGGTGCTTGCGGTCATTCCGGTTTCTGTCAGTCCCAACGTCCTCCCTCCCTCCCTCGAGAGCATCAGTCAATGTGTAGAAGCACAGGATGATGTTTAGGGCCCAACTGGGGCAGGTGTTCCCTGACAAATGCAGGGTGTGACAAACTAATGCAGGCCTCCCCAAACCCTGTACTGCATCCCAGAATATTTTGGATATGAAATATAAACAGTGCAGTTTTTTTTTTGCCAGGTAGATTTGATTTAAATTAAGTCAGTTTAAATCACAATTTAAATAATGATTTAAACCACTAGTCAGAAAGACTCTATTAAATCATGGTTTTTAAAGTACATAAAGACTCATTCTTGCTGGTAGTTATAATCTTTAATACTTGCAACCAGATGAAAATTTCATATTTGGAATAATAACCTGTCAGATTAGTGAAACAGCTATATCAGAATTGATTTTAGTTTAATAGATTAATCACTCATATTTAGAAAATGACTTAAATTGTTTTATTTAACTAAAACAATAACATTATATAGTGTACATATTCTTGTATTTGCTTAAAACATCCGTGTTTATTAACTGAAGTGGATAAACAAAATATCTTTTTTAAAAGCAAACTGTCTTCCAAACAATCTTCAAACCTAGCATTTAAGTTACAGTAGGAAACCTCCTATCCGCAGAATTGGAATCTGCTGATTCACTTATCCATTGCCTGAAAATACTAAATATCTCCGCCTGCCCAGCAAAATACATACAGTACGTACTGTATTTATATTGCCAGGGTGTATTCACCAGAACTGGCCTTTAGAGGGATCCAGAGACTATGCAATGTATAGCATTCACTACATCCATGTTCTTCAGCATCTGCGAGGAGGCTTGGAACAGAGGGATCCAGTGACTATGCAATGTATAGCGTTCACTACATCCATATTCTTCAGCATCTGCGGGGATGCTTGGAACAGATCCCCGTGAATACCGTGGTCCTACTATAATGTGTTCACTGTTTGTACAGAGATTTGCAGAACAACAATGGGATCAAGGGAACTTTTCCTGAACTTTGTTTATTCTATACCATTTTTATTGTGAAAAAGTGCATGTTATCTCAGCTTGGATAACTTAGATTAATTGAATTAGTTTACCAAAAATGTAAATATTCATGAATATAGCGCCTCATGCTACTTAACTATTTCATGCTGAATAACCTTTGAATAACCTTTGAACTATAATGTATCTTAAACAGAAAACTATCTTTGAATAAATTTTTCCTCCAAAAGCATTTCATTAAAATAAATCCAATTAATTTTTTTAATCTGATTTTTTAATTTAAAAAATCATGGATTTTAATCCACCCTGGTCTTTTGCATAAATAAGTGGCAACAGAATTGTTGCATTTTCCTTGCCCCACATAACTGGAACCCCTTGATCCTCAAAAGCAGCTTTGGCAATTTGCAAAGGGCAAGGAAGGAGGATCTAAGGAAGGAGGATCTGGAAAGCTGCTGCTGCTGCTTGGTGTCCCTCTTATTCTTCTCTGAACCAAGTCCCCTATTTCTTGGGAATGGGTAGGAAGGTGTAACAGGGGCCATGAATGGGGGTTAAAGATCTTACATAGCAAATGTTCACCTCTGGGTGGGTGGATGGGTGGTTATTTTGACCCCGAGAGAGAGTGAGTTCTGCTCTGTTTGGCATTAGCAAAGCAGCCACTTTTTGCTTGCTTTCCAGGGAAACGGCGTCGTGCGGCCATGGACTTCCCTGGTGCCTCTACCATTTTGGCCCAAATCAAAGAAAAGCCCAAAAGAAAACGTGTGGGCTTGACTTCCACAGGACCTCCCCTTCGCCAGCACATGCCCATTCTCAGCCCAGAGGGCAAGACCATTGGTAGGTGGACGGGCGAGTTCCAAAAGTCCCTCCTACAGCAGGAATCTGGGAGGAGGGACTAGAAGTCTAGGGAAAGGGTTGCTCCTTCCTTTCCTGACCCTGGAGTCCCAATGGCCTCCTTGACAAAGGCTCTCTGTGCTCCCCCATGCACTAGGTACAGTGACCAGCGGCTGCCCCTCCCCATCTCTGCAGAAGAACACGGCCATGGGCTACGTGGAGAACGAATACAGCAAACGGGGCACAGCCCTCATGGTGGAGGTGAGGAAGAAGAGATGCCCAGCGGTAGTCACCCCAATGCCCTTTGTTCCCACCCATTACTACATTGTGAAATGAATATGCCTCTCGAGAGGGTCTTCCGTTGATCTCTAACCTCTGAGGGGTTGTGGCCACACCAATCATTTGGGGGGCAGGTGGCAGGGGGAAGAAAGCCTTGTGAAAGAGGGAAATGGCCTGAGGCTGCTGACAGAAAGAGGCTTCCTTAGGTGTTAGCAACTGAAGAAGCAGGCAGTGTAAGCACAGGCGAAGGGTGGGACTCCGCTCCTTGGGGCCAATATGGACATGGCACATATAACCTGGATTCTCCAGACCCCACACATGGTGGGTCCCTACACTTCTAGGTCCTACTGATCTCAAATATTAAAGTTTCTAATTTGTTTCCTGCCCCGTTTGTTCAAGATGGAACTATAACCAGCCTCCCACCTACACAGGTAGAAGTAAAGACTTTGTAACTAACAATCAGACCTGCAATGATAAAAGGACAAGTTTGTTGGGGTTTTTTACTTCTCGCAAAGCAACGTGTTTTCTCTAATCCTTGTAGTGAAGCAATAATTTAGGCTTAACTGCCATTTTTACACTGTAGGGTAAAGGGTGTAACTATCTTCCTTACAGTATAGGCAGAGATGGCTTTACTACCTGTAGATAAACAACTTAGTCAAAGTACAAGCAGAGTTCCAGTTATGCTTGCTCTATGTGATATCGGCAGCACACACCCATACAGGGATACTAAGGCAGAAAGACTATTCTTCCACTGTTTTTTTTTTAAACCAGGGGCTCTCTATTATGTCCTAGAAATATTTTTTGATAATTCCAGATTCTTTGTGAGGCAGAATTTTGAGCAAAGCTTCCCATTTTGCAAGTCCCCTTCTGTTTCCTTTCTTCCATTCAGATTAGACAACTCAGAGCTACAATGCTCAAAGACAGTGGTTTACACACTGGGCTGCAGAAGTGCTTGTTACTTGACAGCATCTGTGAAATGTACCAAATCAAACACAGAGCCAAAATGTGCAAGACCTGGGAAGGAGGGAGAACGGCTTGTACAGCTCCCTTTATTCCCTAGTCCCAGACGGCTACTCTCTTGCTGTTACATGCCATCAAGTTGCCTCCGGCTTATGGCAACCCTATGAGTGAGTGATTTCCAAAACGTCCTGTCCTCAACAGCTCTGTTCAGCTCTTGACCCTATGAGTGAGTGATTTCCAAAACGTCCTGTCCTCAACAGCTCTGTTCAGCTCTTCTACACTCAAGGCTGTGACTTCCTTACAGAGTTAATTAATCTCATATTTGGTGTTCCTATTTCCTGCTGCCTTCAACCTTTCCCAGCCTTACACTCAAGGCTGTGACTGCCTTACAGAGTCAATCTTGTATTTGGTCTTCGTATTTCCTGCTGCCTTCAACCTTTCCCAGCATTGCTGTCTTTTCCAGAGAATCTTGCCTTCTCATGATTCTGTAGTTTTAGATGGGAAAGGCAATTTGGACTTGGGGGGGAAACAGTGGAAAGAAAGGAGAAATGTTATGCATACAAACACACACACACCATGGCTTTGATTAGATACAAAGCCTTCCATTTGCTTTACAGCAGGCGTGGGCAACTGCAGCCCTCCAGGTTTTGCCAGCCCCAGCAAGCATAGCCAGTGCTTGCTGGAGTTGTTAGTAGCAATCGTGGGTGTAGTAATTCCTCAGCATATGGAAGATGACATGTCTCACCTACCCCATGCATTTGTGTAAGGCTAATAAGGTCTGATCTGTTTTGAGTACAGCATGTAAATTAGCCCTTTACTAATAAACCATAGCTCACAGATACCAGAATTCCCCACCTTTTGCAATAAGGTCCAGACTATTTTTGGTTTTCCATTACTTCTTTATAGTCCATACATTACACACAATTAACCAGATGATAAAAGGCAGCATCTGGCTCAATGGAAGGATGGCACAATATCACATCAACACCTCTAGCACGACTGAACTGCAGAGAGCTTCACCCTCCCGCTGCAGGGCACTAGCACCACAGAGTAGGGTTTAGAGACATGAATTGTTTTAGAAAACCAGTGAGCTCACAAGGATCATTGTTGGCACAGACTACTACGGTTGACTGAGGGAGGGCACCATCAAGAGTTTGAATTAACTGGACTGAGCCTCCAATACCAGAGCAAACTAAGCACACAATGTTGGAGCTAAATGGAAGAACTCATCTTCCCATCAACGGTGGGGCTTGCTTCCTTTTTTGATCCGAGGCTGGTTCAAGGCAAAGGGAATTTTAAGCACCACTGCAGAAGGATACGCCGATCATAGGTGGGACGGTGAAAAGAGGCAGTCATAAGGCTAATCTGCAAAAGGACCCGCAGCACAGCAAGAGGAAGAATAACGCAGACAGTAGTGACGAGGGGAAACCGACAGCTTCCCCAACCTGAGTAAGAGCAATCCTGAGACTCAGTGCTTGGCAGGTGGATGGGAGCAGCACAGTCCTCAGAGCACCATGGTTGGCCAGCAGGCAGGCCACAGGGTGGGAGAAAGGGCAACGATGACTGCAGCTTCCTCAGCACTGAAAGAGCAAGGCCCCTGGGCAGGCGAGCATCAGTATCCTCTGTGCTCCTGGAGCCACTAGAAGCCTGGCCTGGTCACTTCTCTCATCACTCCCGATGTGTTTTCATAGTCTCATTGCTTGAGCCTTCCCTGCATTAAAAAAAGAAAGGAAACCAAATAAACCAAAAAGCTCAGTAGGGCAGAGGGAACAGGGGGAGACCATCCCTCGCCTCATGAGAATTGACTAGATCATATGGAAAAGATGAAAGCAAACAGAGGAAATAACTCACCATACTGAGAAGGAGGAGGAGCCATCTGGTGTTCCCCCATTCTGTCCTCCAGGACCTACAAAAAGAGGGAGAACATTGTCAGGCAGTCACCTAGAACGGGGACTTTCTACTCCAGGAATAACTTCAGTGTTTCTCTCAGAACAGAAATGGAGAGTATATGCCTTTGGGGACTGGGCTGTATTGCACATTCCACCATCCCTCCCTAATGGCTGGGTTAACTAAGAGTGTGGTCGGCAATTTGAGCTGATTCCTGTTCCACCTTTTTTATATTGGCTTCAAGGCATGCGGTATATAAATCAGTAGCCAGGCTCACTTTTGACTGAAATTAAATTTACTTATTTCTGGTAATTAAAACCAGTTTCGGGCAGGATTACACTGACATCGGGTCATTTCCTTTCTATTTTAGGAGCACGCTGTTCTTAAAGATTTTGATTTTTTTTTACAAAGAAAAGTACTGTACCTGTAATGTGTTACCAAATCAAGCGTCTACAAGACGCTACCTGACATCCTAATAGTCACTAGAAACCCCAGGGGAAACACCAGAGTGGTGGCCCCAGCCGATTAATGATAGGAAAATGGGAACTCACTTCGCAGTCCCTATAAATCAATTTCACCTGTGCGTCATGTGCCCAATCATTTATAAATCAATTTAAATAATGCTTAAATCAACTGAATGGCATCTAAGTCACTGGCAATTAATACATCTTGTAGCAGTGAAGTAGACGGTATTTTCTTCTCTGCCCTCTTCTGATAGCTAATCAAATTTCATTTTGTGACCCTGATTTCTAGTATTGAGATGGGGCTTACTTCCAGGTAATTGGGTATAAGATCACAACCTCGCATTTCAACTTTCCAAAGTGGTAAGATGAGAACAACTTTACAGGCAAAGTCTGTGTTCCCATATACTGCTTATCTGGAAGTAAGTACCATATATTTCAACTGGAAAAAATGCACGGGACTGCACTGCTTGTTTTCTTTGGAAGAAATGACACTGGTCTGGAGTCTATGGTGTCCTCACAATTTATTCTATTACAAATGAATAGTCTAAGCAAGTATTGGGGAAGTGCGATGGCAAGCATACAGGCAAAATTCATTCCTCAGCTATGCAGGGCCTACAAAAAAAAATGCAAAACAGCTCTTGGTCTAACAAGTTGCCACCTGTTATTGTTTCAAGTAGCATAACCCAGCAGCATAACCTTTCTGGGCCAAACTGTTTTCAAACCCTCAGCTTTTGTGGGATGTATATTTCTAGATGCTTGTTGGGACAACCAGCCTTTGATTTCAGCTAAACATCAAGAAAGCAGCTCGCCTTTCTTGCTGAAGTTACCTGTAGTGTTATAAAAACCACAGTGGGTGGCTTAACAAACTGCAGATATCAGAGTGATAGTTTTTTTATTATTATTATTTGATTTTTACCTCGCCCCTCTAGACCATGTCTACTCGGGGCGGCTTACAAAATAAAACAGTATAAAAATATATAAAATCATAAAATTACAATTACAATTTCAATTTAAAACAATTCATTTAAAGAGAGGATTACCAAGATGGAATAGCAAAGAAAAGAAAAAAGGAGAAAGACTTAATTGACTGGAGGGAAAGCCTGCTTGAATACCCAAGTTTTTAACTGGCTTTTAAAAACACCCAGCGAGGGTGCCAGCCGAATTTCAGTAGGGAGAGCGTTCCACAGCCGAGGGGCCACCGCCGAGACGTCCCGGTTTCTTGTTTTCTCCTTCCGGGCCTCTCTCGGCGTCAGACCCCTCAGCCCCCCCTGCTGGCTATGTCGGGTGATTCAGGTAGATCTGGGTGGGAGAAGACGGTCTGCCAAATATTGAGGTCCCAAACCGTTTAGGGCTTTATAAGTGATCATTAGCACTTTGAAGTCAACGCGGAAACGGATGGGCAACCAGTGCAGAGCAGCCAGAGTGGGGGAGATATGCTGGTGTTTTCTCACCCCACTAAGGAGCCTGGCTGCTGCATTCTGGACCATCTGAAGTTTCCGCGTCAGCCTCAAAGGCAGCCCCACATAGAGTGCGTTACAATGGTCTAATCTCGAGATTACGAGCGCATGGACTAGAGTAGTGAGGGCCCCCCGATCAAGATATGGTCGCAGCTGGGCAATCCGCCATAGATGAAAATAGGCGGAGCGGACCACGGACGCCACCTGGGTTTCCATGGTAAGCGCCGGGTCCAGATGTATTCCCAAGCTGCGGATCTCTTAAGTGAAAGAAATGTTAACTAAGCGTTTATTCAATTATTCAAATATAAAGGGAAAGGGAAAGGTTCCCCTTGACAATTTTTGTCCAGTTGTGTTCGACTCTAGGGGGCGGTGCTCATCCCCGTTTCCAAGCCACAGAGCCAGCGTTTTGTCCAAAGACAATCTTCCGTGGTCACATGGCCAGTGCGACTTAGACACGGAACGCTGTTACCTTCCCACTGAGGTGGTCCCTATTTATCTACTCGCATTTACATGCTTTCGAACCGCTAGGTTGGCGGGAGCTGGGACAAGCGACGGGCGCTCACTCCGTCGCGTGGATTCAATCTTACGACTGCTGGTCTTCTGACCCTGCAGCACACAAAGGCTTCTGCGGTTTAGCCCGCAGTGCCACCACGTCCCTGTTCAAATATACAGTATTTGCATACAATTAAGACAATCAATTCTGAAAGATGAAAACACATTTTTTTCTCTATGTCATATCACACGCTTTGTTAGAAGGGGCATTCCCCATTACCTCATTTCTCTTGTGAGTACTTTTATTATATTTTTAAAAGGCAACTACCCAATTAATTAGGGGCAACTTTTTTTATCGCAAAATTGTTATTTGATTAGCCTAACTGACTGCAGTACTATATACAATTACCCGAGAGGAAAGCCCAGTCCACACTATGAGACATACAGTATTCCTTAGCAATTATGCATAAGATGGGACTATAAATCAAAAGAATGGGATTCTAAAAACATACAGTATGCAGAGCTTCTTTCACTTGAAGTGGGCCATACCTGTGAAACTGTAAGGCATATGGCAGATCATAAGAAACACAACGAAGTTTCTATAGATCTAAAAAGAGTTTCCTGGATAGCTAAGTAACACAACAAGACTATTTTGCTTTTTAAAAAAAACTACGATGCGTAAGTGGAGAAAAAGTGGTAGAAACTGAAAACTTGTATCACACAGGAGAATAACAATAAATGAGAGAGTGTGAGATGTCCAGGAAGGATGGGTGTGGCTCAATAGATTTGAGCACCTGGACGCAAAGTCAAGGACTGGGGCATTTGAACTTCCATTGTGCCTCTTGGGAAAGAGGCCGCCCAAGATTACCTAGAGAATGTACACGTCAGGATATGTGCCCTCCCAGTGGGGCAGCCTTGGCAAGTGGCATAGTTCCAAAGCATCAGCAGGAGGGATTGACGGTGCATTTCTGAGTGCATTATACCTAGAAAACCTCAAGAGGGTTGCTATAAATTGGAACTGACTTAACGGCAAATAATTATTAAAGCTGTCCAGAAAGAGGAAGCTACGGGCAGGTTGCTGCCCAGGTTTATAAATAAAATAAAGAACAGAGAGTGATTTTGTACCTAGTATTGGCCATATAAAAAAAAAAGTTTCTCCTATTGCAGATCCAATGCAGGATCGCTTTGATCCCTGCTTTCCCCTCCAGTTGTTTTTGTTCTCTCCTCAGCTTACTTCCGTGTATAAGACAACCCTCAATTTTTAGTCTAAAGATTTTAGACAAAAGTATAGTCTTATACACAGAAAAATATGGTAATCAAGGATTAAATTAGGGGAAATTGTTTTTTAGGAATTAGCTGGCTTAAGTTGTGATCACATGGGGAAACAAATTGTGTTTTGCACTGTTTGTGATGTAGTCTAGAGTGATCCGTTTCCCGGCAATCACACAACATATTTGTGCTCGAACCCAGCCCCAATTTGTGCACAAACTGAACCTTTTTGGTTTAGCTGTAAGACTACTACTTTTGGGGGCTGGGCTGGGCTGGAGCATAGAGTCACAGAGTTGGAAGAGACCACTGAGGCCATCCAGTCCAACCCCCCCTCGCCATGTAGGAACATCCATCGAAGTACAGTGGTGCCTCGCTTAGCGACGTTAATCTGTTCCAGAAAAAACGTTGCTAAGCGAAAACATCGCTAAGCGAAATTTAAAAGCCCATAGAAACACATTAAAACGTGATTAACGCATTCCTACGGGCTTAAAACCTCACCTTTAAGCGAAAATCCTCCATAGCGCCGCCATTTTCGCTGCCTCTTAAGCGAGGAAAAACAGCGGGCGGCCATTTTGAAACCACAGATCAGCTGTTAAAAAGGGTCGCTTTGCCACGATCGCTTCCCAACAATCATCGCAAAGCGAAAAAATCCCATAGGGACCATCGCAAAGCGATAGCTTTTGCAATCAAGAAAACTGTCACTAAGCGATTTCGTCGCTCAACAGAGCGATCGCTATGCGAGGCACCACTGTACTCCCAACAGATGGCCATCCAGCCTCAGCTTAAAAATCTCCAAAGAAGGAGACTCCACCACCCTTTGAGGCAGTCAAGCAGAGACATCACCTTGCCAACAAAACTCCGAATAGTCTAAGCTATGGCTTTCCTTGTAGTGATGTACGGAAGTGAGAGCTGGACCATAAAGAAAGCTGACCGCCAAAGAATTGATGCTTTTGAATTGTGGTGTTGGAGGAGGCTCTTGAGAGTCCCCTGGACTGCAAGGAGAACAAACCTATCCATTCTAAAGAAAATCAAGCCTGAGTGCTCACTGGAAGGACAGATCCTGGAGCTGAGGCTCCAATACTTTGGCCATCTCATGAGAAGAGAAGACTCCCTGGAAAAGACCCTGATGTTAGGAAAGTGTGAGGGCAAGAGGAGAAGGGGACGACCGAGGATGAGATGGTTGGGCAGTGCCATTGAAGCGACCAGCATGAATTTAACCCAACTCCGTGAGGCAGTGGAAGACAGTAGGGCCTGGCATGCTCTGGTCCATGGGGTCACGAAGAGTTGGACATGACTAAACGACTAAACAAACAAAATTCCACTGCCAGACAGCTCTG